AAATTTCAAGTATAGTGAGCAACGCTACAAACAGTGCTTTGCATGATGTCAAGCAGGGTCGAGCAAACATGACGTTTTATACATGGTTTTTATACGTATAAAAAAAATATTTTTTATAGATTTTATACGTATTATACGTATTATACATACGTATTATACACACGTAAGAAATGTAAGAAACTACTCGCAGCTCTAAATTGCCCACTCCAATGTCGAGATAATTCACCAACGTGATCTTCACCAACGTTATTTCGACATTATGCAAAGCACTGTTTGCAACATTCACTATACTTGAAATTTATAAAAAGAAATAATATAAAAAGGTGAGTCAAAGAATACGAAAATTACTTATGTATAATATTATATATATAAAATATGCATAATTGTGTATGAGCAATTTTTTTTACATTTCTTCAAACTTGATTTTTTCTAAAACAAATAGTAAAAAAATTACCCTTTTAATTATTTTTATGTTTTCACATTATTATTATTTCTATTGCCCTAAAAAATAATTTTATAAAAGAAAGAGAGATGTATGAACAAGTATGGATATATTACTTCATATATCCATATATGATTATACATGTTTATGAATATTTATGTATGTTTATACAGGGTGTTAGTTAAGTATGTTGCCATACTCAACAGAGCGATTCTTTGGTTTGTTTTAAATAAAAAAATTTATAAACATATGTCCTAAACGGCTTAGTTTCCGAAATAAAAAAATTTAAACGTGTAGTAATAATCTGTTTATTTGAAAGAAATACAGCTTGAATTAGTCAAAAACTAGTCAAAAACAGAAAAACAAAAACACACACACACACACACATAGGTTTCAGTTCTTCTGATGAAATAAAACAATTAGATGAATTGTTGAAAATGTTCACCTTGCGTCATCAAGCCTTCTTCTCAAAGATTGACGTACACGCTCAAAGATCAGAACTGAATTTTGATTTTGTAACTTTGACTTTGACCTTATCACTTTGTTTACGGTTGTGCGAATGGTAACCTGCGTGAAGCAAGGCATATTTATGGAGGAAGATATCTCCAACACAATTTATCATTTCGTCAAACATTTGCGAACAAACATTCACCTTTATCGAAAACTAAGCTGTTTAGGACACATGTTTATATGGACTTTTTTACTTGAAATAAATCAAAGAATCGCTCTATCGAGTATGGTAACATACTTAACTAACACCCTGTATATATTTATACATATTAAAATTTTTTACCGGATGATTACGTCAATTCGCTTTAATATGTCTCAGCATGTTACATAAAATAAAATTTTAAAGACTTGTGTCATTACAGCGTTCAGTTGGAGTTATTATTTCTTCCTATTCCCTGCATTATTCAGTCAATATTAAAATATTATTTTTCAAATCTTATCGTGTATGTTTTACGACATTTTTTTCTTATTTTCGTCGCGCATATACGTTCTATAAGCAGTGTTTTCCATTATCTATAGATAAAATTATCTTAAAAATTATCTAAATAAACATTTTTTTTTAATTTCATCTTTTATCTAGATTAATATAAAGTTAATCATCTTCATCTTATCTAAGATACATTTTTATATGATTTATCTTATCTATATCTAGATAATTTTTAATTATCTAAGCGCAACAATGTCTATAAATCACTCAATTTTCATCGTAATTCCAACATATTTAGATTTATAAAATACAATACGTCATAGTAGTGTAAAATTTTGTTTTTGTTTTGTAAAATTTCTAAACATGAAAGACTCGAAAACAGCTGTCAAGAGCTCCCCTCCTTTAATCCTCTGCTTTTCTTCCGCGCAGGTACATATTCGGCATGACACACTTTCACAATGTAGCCGCTCCTGGTACACGGCGTAGTGCTAATATAATTCCGTTATCCAGTCGAGACGTGGCAGTCTTCGTGTGTTTTTCTATAAGTTTGGTTGTACTTGCCCACAGTCGTAAAATGAGCGATCGCACTGTAGTAATTGTGTCTGCTGTAAGGACACCCATAGGTAATAACACCAATAATAAAACACGCAGCTAGTAAAATTCCGTATAATTTGCAATGTTAAATTATCGAAGTTTAAACAATTGCGAAATTTGAATAGTGTCAGTGAAATAAATTTCAACGATATTTTGCGTAAAATTCTCCCATAAGCGATAAAAATTTGACAAACCTCTCTTGGACATTCATTCAGGTTATATCTTTTGTAAATAGTGTATCGAAATACAATCAGGACTGGCATGCATTTGAAATACTTTTATTTTAAATACAATATTTGTAATTGTATTTTTTGTATTTCAAATCGAAAAATCGAAAGTATTTTGTATTTTATAATTCAAATAATAAGATTGATTGTCAATCTTAGTATTTAAAACACAAAATATAAAATACAATTGTGTTATAAATATTGTCTTTCAAATAGAAGTATTTTAAACATACACATGCTCAGGCTTGAATACAATTATAGATACATTAAAAATACTGTAATTGTGGAATAAAAAATAGTTTGTAAAAACATAACGTACTAATATTAAAAATTGTGCTGTGCATCAAAAAAGCAAATTTACATCTTATTTAATTACTTCTATAGAATATTATTCCTACAGAAAATGCTATAAATATAAAACTTGTATTTGTAATAATTAAATTTACTGTTCTGTAAATGTAGGATCATATTGTGGGTCCTTATCTTCATTGAAAGCATCCGCATTGGGAAGTATCGCTATCAAAGAATGCTTGACAAGGGTTGGACTGGAAGGATCAGATGTTTCTGAAGTTATTATGGGACAGGTACTCATAATTCTAGAAGAAAAAGCATTAAACCATATATATTTTTAAGTACAATTAGATTCATATACATGTAAGATATTTCTATACACATTGTGTTTTTTCCAGGTGCTTTCTGCAAATGAAGGTCAAAATCCTGCAAGACAAGCAGCAATACGTGCTGGCATACCTATCGGTGTACCTGCTTATCAGATAAACATGTTATGTGGTTCCGGTCTAAAGTACGTCTACCTGCTCTACACGTGATATTAGGTTTGTTTTTTATTGCTGCACTGGATTACAACTTTTCTTCTCGCTCTTGCCAAATATTAAATATAAATTTATTTCACTTTAAGTACAAAGAGTGTACACTAGTTCAGCTATAAAAAACAGATTTATTTCCATATTATACATATAATTAAAAAAAATCACCTGAAATATTTGATGTAACATATTACATACATGTCTTACAGATCTGTAATGAATGGTTACTTTTCTATAAAGTTAGGGGAAAGCGATATAGTTGTGGCTGGTGGTCAGGAAATGATGAGTAGAGCACCACATGCCACTTATCTCAGGACTGGTGTGAGAATTGGAAGTTGCAATTTAATTGATACACTATTGGAAGATGGTCTAACAGATGCCTTTCATAATATTCACATGGGAGTCACAGGCAAGACAAAAAATATTATAATTGAATATTTTTGCACTAGGAAAATTTAAATTTTATGTACTGTCATTTTTATTATCAATTATTTCATTGGCAGCTGAGAATCTTGCTGAGCAATATAAGATAAGCAGAGAGGAACAAGATTATTACGCGTGTAAATCTCAGCAGAGGACAGAAATTGCTATCAACGCCGGATATTTCGATAAGGAAATTGTTCCAGTAACCATTACAACTAAAAAGGAAGTTTTTGTTGTGTCTAAAGATGAATACCCGAAATTTGGAACGACCACAGAGAAACTTGCAAAATTAAAACCAACATTTATACCGGTATATATTTTTAAATATATAATTGTGTGGAAAGAATATAACAATTTGAAATCATATCGCATTTAGAGTAATGGTACAGTTACTGCCGGCAATGGATCCGGTATAAACGACGGCGGGGCTGCCGTAGTGCTCATGTCTGAAGAAACTGCTGCAAATAGAGGAATCTCACCACTAGCCAGTATTGTTGCATTTGCACAGGTTGGAGTTGAACCTAAAATTATGGGCATCGGACCTGTTGAAGCTGTTAAATTAGTTGTTAGTATATCGCATTTATGTTTTGATTATTATTTCAACACGATATTATTTAAAACGTATACTTATTTCAGTTAAATTAGTTGTTAGTATATCGCATTTATGTTTTGATTATTTCAACACGATATTATTTAAAACATATACTTATTTCAGTTAAAAAAAGCGAACTGGACGAAAGAGGAAGTGGATTTTTATGAACTAAATGAGGCCTTTGCTGCACAAGCAATCGCGTGTATTCAAGAACTCGAATTAGACGCCGAGAAAGTTAATGTAAATGGCGGTGCTATCGCCTTAGGTCATCCTATTGGTATGTCAGGTATGTATTAATGCTTGAATTTTCTTCAAAAGAAATTTCTCAAGAGAAATTTTATGACAAAATTTTATATTTCAGGCACAAGAATACTAGTCACTCTGTTACATACTTTAGAAAGAACAGGAAAGAAAAAAGGTGTCGCATCTTTATGCATAGGAGGGGGAATGGGCATTGCTATTGCTGTTGAAAGAAAATAACGAATGTCTTCTCTATTAATATATATATATTATATAAAATTTCTTAAATTATTATTAAAGCGGTTCTCGCTAAAAATGGCCTTCCTCTTATGTTATATATTGAATAAAGGGATCTATTACAATATTCATACACTGAATTGTGTGATAGAATATTTATTTCGTGATTCCCTATTTAAAAAATAATTTATATTTTATAATGAAATTTTGTATAAAAATGCAGAAATGTAAATTACATAAAATATTACAAAACTGAGAGTTGTCAAGTTTAAAGTACAAACATTCAACCAAAATAAAGATGATCATATAGGCAATACATAATAAAATCAGGATCTTTACGAGTCTAATTTATCTTCATTTTTTGTGGTTTCGTCTTTTGTTGTATTCCTATTCTCTAAAATTTTTTCTACAGCTGCAAGGCCTTCCCGTTGTCGCTGCTGAGCATATTTTGTTTTGAAAGTATGTTTCTTTTTCTGGTCTCTCACTTCCCATTCAGATCGGCCTAGTCGATTTAATTGTCGCTTGATAGCTGGGATAATCCGTATCTTAAATAATAATATATCTAAATTAGATAAAACGCATAAACATAAAAATGAGTTACTCTATTTTATCAGAGATTACGGTTTTTCAATAACAGAATTAAATGTACGAATGTACATTATATTTAAAAATCTTACGACCTAAGCACTTAAAACTTTTCTAATACTTGTAAAACTTTTTAAGCTAAAATTATTTCTTTATTACGAATAATATAATATACTTAATCCTAATATTTTCATTCTTATATTACATGGCTGGATATACTAAGTGGTATAGCGGGATAATATCCGCGATATAACTTTCCATCCTTATCAAAACAAGGAATAGGTTCCTCTAATGGTTTCTGTGTTACCAAACTGATATCTGGTATACACAGCTTCGCGTGTTTCTTTATTATGTGGCCCCATAAAGAGTCTACATTAATCGTCGAATCTTTTAAGCAAAAATAAGACCCCCAAAGCTTCGAATTTAGAATCTTTTCGTCTGGATGAGTCAAAGCGTGATGAAGCATTCCTTCCGACATTTGTTCTTCGATCACAGCTAGCGTATCACAATGTGCGAATGTATTTGGTACATAAATGTCTTGTATGAGATTATCGCCAACGTACAAACATTGCTGATCAGTTTTCCCTGTTATACGAGCGAGAAATTCCAATAGTTCATTCCAGTTTCCTTGACTGTACATTTCACCTCGTTTTAAGTCTTGACTCACGGTATCGGTTTCGTTATTATTTACAACGTCGAAAAACGATCGATTATTAATAAAAAATCCTGGCTTCTTCGCGAAACATACTACAATATCGAAAAGTGATCGCCAGTCCTCTCCGAGAGCGTAACTCGCGGTAAAATTCACATAATCCGCGTTTGATCCGGTAAGAAGAAAGGTCGCGGATTTTTTCTTTGTTTCTTTCAACCACGAGATCGTGTTCGAGTTGCATTTACGTAGATATTTCTCCGGATTTCTCTTGATGTGCCCAAAAATCCCCTTGCTCGATTCGAAGTGTTCTCTAGAGAACATGTAGAACAGTCCAGCCAATATGTCAGGCCAGATATTGTATCTGTCCAAGGGTGATCCGTGTTCTTCGTCGAGTGCGTCTACGATCCGTGCAAACGCGAGACTAGTCGCTATATCGAAATAATCCAGCAAGCTCCTGACTTTCTCTGACAGAGGACCGTTCCAGGTTGCCATTACGTCGCGACAGAAGATATCCGTGGCCTCTGATCTCTGTTCAGGATATATCTCCTTTATTTGATCCATGTTTAGCAAATACGTGCCATGACATGCTCTGCGAATAACACCATCTGGACTCATCCTGAGCACGTTTCCCCTTTCCAAGTCCAACAACAACCCTTTCTGCATGAAGTCCAAGTCATCATCTGTCAGTGGCTTTAGCAGACTCCCGTTGTATCCCCGTGTTTCCACCAGGAATCTAGCTAGCATCTCGTACTCCATGCACACCAGATTCGTGACGTTGTAACGCAGCAACGTATTATCCAGGTCGAAACCGATGCAATCATAGTCTGTGAACTTGAACGCGTCCATGTCGCTTTTGGCGGGATTAATACATGCGAAACCGTACCGGTTGTTAGAAATCGAACACACAGTTGTAGCAGGAAGTATTTCTATTTTATCAGTCTCTTGTTTCACTCGTTTGAGGGTAGAAGAGTGTCTGTGCTTATATAACTTAATAGTACGATAAAAACCCAGATTTCTAATCATATCCAAGCGCAATTACCATTAGTCATATTAGGCAATAACAACGGATGTACGTTAGTATGGTACAGTTCAATACGGTTGAATAATTCAGCAGGTGTGAGTAAATGGAGCGACACATGAGCCGACAATTGTAGGGACGTTCAAAGTCAGACTGAGCAACTGTAAAATATAAAACACTAAGTTCTAGATACTCTAAACACTTCAATGTCCTGAACACGCTTAGGTAATCCGAGGAGCGAACGAAAGACTGATTTTCCAGTCACAAAACACAACATAACCTAAACGTGCGACCGATTATTCGTACGCTTTACGACTCCCGCCAAACCGAGACAAGATTCTCGACACGGAGATAATCATCGTTAAAGGAGAATAGGATTTTGATGCACTCACGTTCATTGGCACGTGAACGCTACGGATATTTCGTGCCTGCACGAAGAACATGTCGTATTTGAACGAGTCTCCGCGGGGATCCGTAAACACACAGTCTTTCATCACAATGTTCATGTATCTGCAAAATAAAAACGGGAACAGTATGTTCAGAGATGTGACGAAGTCGTCGGGTAGAGCTCTAATAATTTCGGAGTTGAATTGCTGGCATATTCGAGGAAAGAATTTAGGGACATCGTTGGTTCTTTCGATTTTTTATATGCGTTCCATCATAAAAAACAGATTTCTTAATACAACAACGAGCTGATAGCAAAGCCTGCGGAGACAAATTTTGAACAGAGCCTGCTACCAATTTTTGATTGCAAAAAAGCATCAATAAATTATATACAGAGTTTGTATTATCTGACATTGTCAGCAAATTGCTGTCAGAAATATAACAAAGCCTACTAGACATGCTATATCAGCAGATTGGTAGCAGAAACCGAACAAAGTCGCATAATCTGAGAGCAGATTAAGAGCAGAACCTGATTCGAACAGATTCTGTTTGATTTCTGCCGTCAATCTGCTGGAATAATCTGTCAGCAGGCTTTGTCGACAAATCCATAGTCAAATGCGGACACAGATGGCTATGGTTTTGTAGTCAAAATCTGATCGAGTTTGCTGCCAATTTGGCCCTAAATTGCTAACATTTTGCTATCAGGGCCTATAAGCAGGCTCGGTTTCACCAACGTAAGATTAACTTTAATCTCGGTCCATTCTAAGAATTAGAAGAAGATAAACACAAACAGTAAGTTAAAACAAGACAAAATTAATCTTACATGAGGCCTGTTCTTTTTGGCTGAACTTTTGCACCAATTCATCTTTCTTCCTTTTCTCTTCAGGAGGAAAGAAAAAGAAGAAAGATGAACTCGTGCAACAGTTCAGTCAAAAAGAACAGACCTATTGGTAGAACTAGGGGTGCATTCCGTTTCACGCATGATGCGCATGATGCATCGTTTATCCTTGTTGTCCACCAAATGTTAAACAAGGATAAATGATGCATTCTGCACATTATGCGTGAAACAGAATGCACTCTAGAATGCCTAACACGTACGACAACTTCACATCGCAGCAGAAACGAAATCCTTTACTTACGCGTCCGCATTTTCGATAATGCCGACAATCGTCGCCTCGTTCCGCAGGTCTACGGTCGTTCGAGTCTTCTCTACGGCCTTTAGCAGGATCGACAAAGTATTATAGAGAAAGTATTGCTCACGTTTCGAATCATTAGACATCGCGAATGCGAGCGTGAACGTGCTGTGTCGAATGGAGCATGCAAGATGCAACATGCAACACGTGCGAAATTTTCGTCTGCTCTGTTTTCGTTGACGGAGCGAACCACGTGATGGAACCACGTGACGACTACGTGACGCGTGCGCAGAAACGCGGGTAAATTGAGAACGCGTGTTGCATTCGTACGAAGAATATATCGAAGGTTATGGTATTATAAAATATATAGCAAAATATATATATTGAAATATTATACAAGGTCAATGATCGAGCCTAAGATGGTTGACAAATTAAAATACTTATTTAATCGAACATACAATTTAAAATCTGCATACAGATATAAAATATAAAAGATCATAAAATGATATATATATAAGGTCAGAAATATTATATATAAAAGAACAAACAGAAGGAATTAATTTACAAAAAGACACAGAAAATCTAGACGAATCATATTTCCTATTGGGGTCCGTTCAAAATAACAATAACAAATAGACATACTTATGTCTAGAAGTTCTTATTGTTTGTCCTACAGAACGTCATCACATTCGAATCTGAGCACCGATTGCGTTCGACACATTTTTATACGATGTCCCCGTTTTCACGTAAGTCTTATATTAGCTTATCTATTTTTACACAAAAATTGACTCTAATAATTTTCGATTCTACAATAGATTAATTCTCACGCAATTCTTGGTCTTGCTGAACAACGGTGATTGATGACTTTTTTGCCATGACATAACGTGATATGCTGGGACGTTACAATCTTTTTCGTACTATCATTACAATTTCTTACTACATCTCCTTTGAGATGACATCAGCGTTTCAACGATTAATACGTCTCTTCATTGCGAATATCATCCACGCATCTCTTGTTAACATAAAACATCCGAAAATGTCTTACCGAATTTAATATTTTATAATCTAACGTATAACTGAAGAAGGACCGGTGGTCCCGAAACGTCTTTTATATATTTAATTTTATATTTTTTATGATCTGTTATATTTTATATCTTTGTACAGATTTTAAATTGTATGTTCGATTAAATAAGTATTTTAATTTGTCAACCATCTTAGGCTCGATCATTGACCTTGTATAATATTTCATTGTTTTACATTAACACGAGTGTCTTTATACATACATATTGATTTAGTTTAATCTATCTTTAATTAACTTCGTCATTCTTTTGACCGCAGTTTTGCCATTATACAACATAATAATGAATTGTTTAAGAAGTAAATGATTCGATCACCCTAATCGCGAAACGTTTGTGTACGTGGATTATAGAAAACAGAATTATATTCATTTTTTCTGAATTATATTTAATAGAATTATATTTACTTTATCTGAAAATTATTAAAATTGCTTTCATGTAGATTCGCATAGAAGCGTATTTTTTTAATTCATAGCAGCATCGCATTTATGTAACATTCAAATCACCAATCGAAGGAATAATTCTACATAATTATTAAACATTGTCTTCTGTATTTAATAAATCAAAATGTAGCAACAATTATAAACACGACTTCGGAATAATTTCTGTTAATTTATAATTTGTTTCAAGATGCAAATATCGAAAAAGAAATGTTCACCATTCATGCGAAAAAGAAGATAAACTGCATGAGGTAGATAGGAAATGAAGTCGAATTTTATGCAAATGGAATGCACGAGCGACGACAATTGTAACTCAATTTTCTCGAACACATTAATTAATTCTATCTCGAATGGCTCGCTCTTTCGCTCAGAAGTTACGGGATGTTAAACACGTTATCGTGGGGAGATTCGATTTGTCCTCGTATTATACTACCACCGTAAATTGTCCCGATGTTAGTCTATATATAGTCACTCATATAGCCGTCATTGCTAGAGGAATTAGGTTACTTCCCAACGGATATACAAAGGGGTCTTGTAAATGGTCGTATCCTACATGCATCTAAAACAATTACGCGCAAATATTTCCGCGTAACTGTTATCTTTTATCACTGTCAGATTCACGAAAGTTTGGAAACCAATGATTTCGATCGAAATAAGCTTGCAAAAACTAAGTAGAATATAATTAATTGTAACATATGATTCTCTATACATAAAATCTCAGAAAACATTCGGGTATCTTAAATTCATCTAAGAGATGTTTTAAAATTTCGTAGACGTCTTGTGAAACAGAAAGATATCATATGGTGTTTTTAAGATGTCTAAATTTCTTCTAAAAAATCTTTAAATTTTAGATAAGCATAATTTTGGTTAGAATAATACAGTAGAAAAATTAGGTAGAAAAAAAGAATATATAAGCTAAAAAATCGCTTAATATAAATTAATAATTGATATCAACTAATTCGATGGCTCAATTAAATTAAATAAATTACAATAATACCGGGTGTCTAAGTCCACCCATACACCCCTTTTATCTCGGAAACAAAGCATTTTGAAAATAACGTTTCTAACAAAAGTATGATTTCGAGGTGTACATAAGATGGAGTCATTGGTTTAACCTTGAATAGTCGTTTGAAAGTCATATGAAGGTCACATTGATTTTCCAAATAGTACATCTTATTTTTCATTGCATATTCTTATATGTTTATTGCTTATATGCTTATGCGCTTTCCAAAACACTATAATCAAATATTTTTTCATTAAGAACTTTTGGAGTTATAAGACTCGAAAGTTTCAACATTTTGACAAAATACAAAACATCTTGTAAAACAATAATCTCCAATGGTCTTAATCTTGATAAATATTATCCAGGACATGATCCTGAACAACATTCAAGAGATTTTAACCATCGGACACCTTGCGTAATGCTAATGTCGGCGGTACTGTAACTTTCAAGTCTTATAACACAAAAAATTCTTAATGAAAAAATATTTGATTATAATGTTTTGGAAAACTATCGAGATAAGCTACAAGAATATGGAATGAAAAATAGGGTGTATCATTTGAAAAAATCAACGTGACCTTCATATGACTTCCAAACGACTATTCAAGGTCAAATCAATGACATCTTATGTACATACACCTCGAAACCATACAACTTTTATCTGAAATGTTTTTGTTTCTAAAATGCTCTGTTTCCAAGATAAAAGGGGTGTACGGGTGGTAATGCGATATAATATATTACATAAATGTTAATACATTACAATTATGTCTTCAAAAATTATAATATGGCCTAATGTCTTCCCCTGTCTATTGTTATAATATTAAGTTGTGTTAACTACATATATTTGTTCTTCATTACCGATTGCATTTGCTTCCTATTGTTGTTTATTAAAGTTATTATTATAAAAGTTCGTCCAAGATTACTTCGTTTATATTGTGAGGGACATAACAGATCCTAGATTTGTCTTGGTTATAAAATCTTGTACATTCTTACATTTTCCAATGTGTGTTTGATTGCACTATAATGTAAATAATTATTAATTAATAATTATTAATAATGAGTAAAGGTCGAAACGTTTGAAGACATAATTGTAATGTATAATATTAACATTTATATAATAATATATTATATCGCACAAAAACAACTTCCGTATTGACACCAATAACCCATTGTCATATTATTGTAATTTATTTAATATAAATTAATATGTCAATAATTTAATATAATTTTGATAACAATTTAAAACAAATTTTATATATTTATTGTTATCGCAAACAAGATTTATATCATGTGTATACAAATGTCACTTATTATAATAATGCGTTATAATTTTTTAAAATAAAACTTGCAATTAATGATATAAAATACTTGTCTTGTAAATAAGCATATCCCATATATATGTATATGATATCCTACATAATGAGCGTTGAAAGTTTTACTGTGTTATTTTATATATATTATGTATTGAACTAATATAATCATATACATTTATTCTATTTATCAACGTTCGTATTTTAGCTTCATACACATTTTTCAAATTGAATATTGCGCATTACGAGATATCTAGTGTTCAGCACTCTTGATGCTCCGATAACATCGTCAAAGACTTCCCTCTCATACAGCGCTATTTTAATTTTCTCTACCTTCAGTTCAAAATGCCTTAAGTCGAGCAGCGATTTTTACGAAATGTACCGGCCAGCGGCATTTTTATTCCCTTCGGCTTTTATTATTCGGTGCCGTGCGACCCACCGCTATGAGTGCCTTCTTCCTGTGATCTACCGGTCTCTCTTTCTCCTCGTGACACATCTCCGTTCATCTCGCCGTGTGTTCCCCTTTCCCCTTTCGGTGCGTGCCTTTCGTCTCCCCGGAGCCTCCCCCGACGCGCGCACTAATCAACTTCCTGGATGGGGCACATTATCGGCCTGATTGCAGGCAGATCCCAACGCCGCGGCGCGATACCTAGCCCACCGGCGCGGCGCGGCGGCAGATCTATCCGATCTCTCGCAATCTCTCGGCAGTCGATTGCGCGCACGAAAAGCACGTCGGAAGCTCTGCGGATGTCACTCGCGCCCGCAACTGAAGCGGTGCAATGATCCTGAACGTAATAGATCGGTTGTGACCTCCTTCGGGGCCTTACCCCCTCGTTCTCTCTCCCCCCCCTCCCCTCCCCCGGCATCATCGGGGCCAGCGTTCCACCGTGCGCTTGTGCAATTTGCCCTGATGGTTCCCGGTGGTTCACGTGAAAGGATCGTCGTGTGTCGCGATGCGCTACCGAACGGTTCGCACGTGCCTCGATAATCGTTCGCGAGAAGAATTGTTCGTTTGCCGAATTTAATTTTCTAGAAAAAGAAGAGCGGGAAGCGAAGCGGAAAATCGTGATAATTCAGGAAGATAATCACGGATTTTCATAAGCACTTTTTGCTATAACAGTGAAAGCATTCGAAATTTAAACTTGCCGTTTTCTTTAAGTTCACTAAAAAAAGTACTAAAAATAGAAGTTTTCTTAATGTTCTCTAACTATAAAGTTCTAAATAATTTAATTGCATTAAAAAGAAGTTTTTTTTTTAAAGAGTAATAAAAATAGAATATTTTTAACGCTGTAAAGCTTTGAATAATTTAATTGCATTAAAGAAAAATAATTTTATTCTTTAATAATTCTTGACACAGACAAACTTATGAAAGAACTACCGTACGGGAATAATATATGTTTCTTCTACACTTGGTAATCCAGATAAATTTTGGACGTCAGTGGCTGAATAAAATCAAGATGATTCGCACTGTGAAAAGGCATAACGCAGTTATAAAGGCCGCGAGATGAAAACTCGCGAGGCCTATTTCGACGTTCCTCGTGCTACGTTTCACTTAAAATCTTGAAGTGACGTGTCTTCAGAAGCCTGAAGGATGTCTTTGGGGCAACGTATTTCCGGCGCGGTTGCAGTTCTCCGGGGAACCTCGACGGAGGCCAAGGAGAGCGGCAGTCATACGTAAAAAAATTTCTTATGCTTTTACCAAAAAGTCGGGCTGCTTTTCACCTGGAATATCTTCCAGGTCGTGCGTAGAGGAAATCGAGAAGATGACATCCGAGGAAGAAATCGAGGCCGAAGCGCAGCACAAAGTGACGGCGCTTGATAGGTTACAGATGGTAAACTTTTTCATGAATCAAATTTTTATAGTAGAATCAATGAAATTTTCAGTGCGTAATCCTTCCGTATTACCTTCAATTTAATTTCTTAATTATCTTCGCGATGAAAGTGATCAAAGGGTATATAGTGCTCAAAACTAATTTCATGGAATCTTATTTGCTCCGGGAAGAAAAGTATCACGCAGTGTGGCTTAATAAAATTTATTACGCGTTGTGGGGAATATAGGTGATAGAATGGATGGGAAGTAATTTGCTTCTGGCACTAACCATCGCTGGAGTTTTGATGGGTCTAGTTCTCGGGTTTCTGGGTCGATTGGCAGATTTTACACCGCAATCTATAACCCTCGTCAGCTTCCCGGGAGAGCTTCTTATGCGGATGTTGAAGATGTTTATCTTGCCACTCATCATCTCATCGTTAATATCCGGTAATTATAATTCGCCGACAATCCATTTTTGAGCAGATAATGAATAGAAAAAGGGAGAAAAAAAGACAAAATTCAATTGCGTAAATATTAAAACAAAATATTAAAAACAAAAATTTATGTCGAATGTCAGAGTTTTGTGTTAAAATAGCAAAGATATTGTGCCTGTTCTAAATTTCTTGTAGCGTTCATCTTTTTTTCTTTTTTTTCCAATATGAAGAAGAAAGATGAATTGTATAAAGAGTTCAGATGAAAGAAACAAATCTGTTATACGCTTAAAACTTTTCAATTTGTCTCTACATATCTCCCTCATCCCCGAGATACAAGCAATTACTTATTTCAGGAATGGCACAGCTGGATGTTCAAAGGTCAGGAAGGATAGGATTCAGAGCATTAACGTACTACTCAATAACAACCATTCTCGCCGCTATAGTGGGCATCGCGATGGTGCTGATGATTCATCCGGGTAATCCGCAAATCAAAACTTCGGCTGCGGCGGTGGTGAAAGCCGAGGAGACAAAAGTTTCTACTGTAGACGCAATTCTCGATATAATTCGGTATGGAAAATCAGCCTCTATAGCTCCACGGTTACAATTTAGGTTCGAAATCTTTCGTAATCTTTCTTAGAAACATGGTGCCGGAGAACCTGGTGCAAGCGTGCTTCCAGCAGGTTCAGACCTCCTACGTGAAGAAAAAGGTGGTCATGATTGGTAGCGCGAATCAAAGCGAATACATAGTGGAGCCGATCTTGGTTTACAAGGACGGCACGAATGTGATGGGTATGATCGTGTTTTGCATCATCTTCGGTGTGCTCGCGGGACAGATAGGACCACGCGGCAAACTGATGGTGGACTTTTTCGTCGTGTTGAATGAGATTATTATGAAACTCGTCACGATCGTCGTTGTTTGGTATGAAACAATAAATAATTTCACACGAGCACAAATTTAATACATAATTAATTATATAACATTATTCAATCTTATTTTCTAGTTTTTGGAATATATAAATCGATAAGAATATGAATATTAATTTGACATTTATATAATATATAGTTAGAGTTTAAGATAAAAAATAAAATTACATAAGAAATAAATAATAAATGATAAAAAACAATAAAATAATTTCACATAAGCTTAAGGAATAATTGATTATACATTATTCAAATTTAATTCAAGTTTCTGGAATATATGAATCGATAAGAACACGAATATTAATTTAATGTATTGAAATTTAAGATAAATAAAACCTTTCTCTTTTCTTTTATTCTCTTTTTTACGACAATGCAATTGGCAATCGCTGTAGGTATTCTCCGTTCGGAATTATGTGTCTGATAGCTGGAAAAATCATGTCAATTACAAATCTGGCGGCAACCGCTCAGATGTTGGGTCTGTATATGGTAACCGTTGTATTAGGCTTGATGATTCACGCAATCATCACGCTGCCACTGATCTACTGGTTTATGACCCGAAAGAATCCAGCAGTGTTCTTTAGAGGTATGATGCAAGCCTGGGTGACAGCGCTGGGAACCGCTTCGAGGTAATAATTGAAAACATTTCTAAAATTAGTCTTAAGTTTTCGTGATCGTTATTTTAAAGTTAATTCAAGAATTAATCAGAGATTATCTCAAAATTAATTAGAAAATCATGATAATATTATCATGATTTTTTATTTATATTTATGGAGTCAATTGGGTATAAAATTGAATTTTCTGGCATGATTAACTTTTTAAATGAATAGCAATGATATAATCGATATATGGGTTTATAGCGCTGCAACCTTGCCATTGACTTTCCGTTGTCTCGAAGAAAATAACAAGATCGATCCGCGAGTGACGCGTTTTGTTGTGGCAGTCGGTGCCACGGTAAATATGGATGGGACAGCTCTTTATGAAGCCGTGGCCGCAATCTTCATAGCACAATTGAATGGAATCTCTTTGGGATTCGTTGAAGTCATTACTGTCAGGTACATGTATTTTGTGAATATGATTTCTTTCATTTCATCAACTACTAGTTATAATTAAAGAAAACAATTTCAATGTACCTAATAAATGAATTAAAAAAATTCAAGTACTTTGGCTTTAAAATTTACTTTTTTTGCAGTCTTACGGCTACTTTGGCGAGCGTTGGAGCTGCAAGTATTCCCAGCGCAGCCCTAGTCACCATGCTATTGGTGCTGACTGCCTTAGGTCTCCCTACGAACGATATTTCTCTGTTATTCGCTATCGACTGGATGTTGTAAGTTACATGTCTATTATTATAGTGTCTATATTCGTATTGCATTGTATACTCATAATAGTTTTTTATTGATTATTTTTGATTAGATTTTTTTATTGATTATCGAGGAATACTAATCTAATCAAAATTTGAATATTTATACTATTAAAAATTATATATCAGTAGTTGACGATAATTGATAGACGGTTGAGAATAGCAGATTTGATTAGAACGGTAAAATTAGAACAATCGTTTTGCTTTAAGAGATCGGATCAGGACTTCGATCAACGTTTTGGGCGACGGTTACGGGGCTGGAATAGTTTATCACTTAAGCAAAGCGGAACTAGACAAGATGGACGAGGAGAGGAGACTGGAGAGTTTGGAAACTGGAAAGCCTCTTGAAATCGCCGCCGAGAGCTTTCGAGAAGAGCCAGGAGTACATGAACAAACTTCCGAGACGAAAATCTGAGGTCTTTCTACAGATTTCAGCAAAGTCATGACGCTGTTTCGCTAATTTTCGTCTCTGCCATGTAGATTAACTTTTTAATCACGATTTAACGCTACTTACCTTTTTCTAATTCTCGGAACTAGAAAAAAATAAAAAGAGTTAAACTGAGATTAAAAACCGAGATTAAAGTTAATCTACACATTGGTGGAAATGGACATAAGAATGTTATCCGTCAGTTCGCAAGAACTATTACTCGTCCCTGTGTTAAGTATATTCGTATAATGCGATTGACTTTCACTGCCGAAATCAAGGTTTTTCCGTGGATTTTTAACATATATCAAAGTAAGCTATACATATAATTATTAAGAATACTATAGGTATGATTTGGATGTTATTTAATGACATACAAATATAAGTTTCCGTTTCTGTAGTGAGTGTTAGCTAGTAGCGAATGAATAAAGTTAAATATTGAAGTAGAAAATGTGAGCATGTTAAGTACAAACTAACGAAAGTTGTATCTCGATTTCTTATTCTTTTCTTTAGTGCGTGAGATTCTTCTACTTTAGAATAATTTTAGAATTAACAAATGTACGCAAAAATAAACATGTACAGTAAAATAAAGATTATAATGCAATAAATTATTGGAAATTGTATCTGACATGAAAATCGTCAAAGCGCTTAAAATATTCATTTATCGAAGATATTTTAAGAAGATATATCTCATGAATAAATTTTAGCGTTTTATTTCAATGGTGTTGATTAAAAGTAATATTATATATAACTGCAATATTATTTTAAACAGTTCTTGATAACGGTGATTAAAATAACGATAAACTATTTACATAAATGTGTTCACAGTCGTTGCAAGTATAGGTACATGTATATGGTTACCAGTAATCTTTATCGAATAAATGTAATTTAGTAATTAATATTTTATTATGCAAATATATATATATATATCTATATATATATCATATATCTAATAAAGAATATGGCTCCCATGTAACATCTCTATTACATTGGCTTTTATATTGTCTTTCTACAGGGTGCGCCACAGAAACTTACTTATTTGAAAAAATTCCCGACCGTTGAGTTGGGCAGGTAGAGGGGCGGGAGGGGGCGCATCTGGAGGGGGACGTCCCCAAGTTTGTTTCCCATTCTCGTCAGTTGCCATTATGCTTTCTTCAACTTTCAAAAAAGTAAGTTTCTCTGGCGCACCCTGTACTTTTACATTTAAATATTAGATAATAAATGCCAGTGATCGTTTTAAAGAAACGTGTCTTTTATATACATATCGACATACGTGTACAACATCGCGTGAATGCTTCACCATTTATTTGGTCATCCGAAAGGCTTAAATAATATAAATACAATGACTGGTTTATTATAATAATTATGCAACCTTGTTTATTTAAATAATTACGTGATGTGTCACAATTGTTGTGAGCCATCCACCCTTTCTCTTTTTAATAGACATGAACCATTCCATATAAAAATCTGAATCAGAATCGTTAAGAAATTTATAGCGTATTGATACTTAACAGAAACAATCAAGCAGAACAAGTCATAGGCCCTGTTCTTTTTAGCTGAACTTCTTGCATGGTTCATCTTTTTTCTTTTTCTCTCCAATTTAGAGAGAATAAGAAGAAAGATGAACTGTATTAAAAGAACTTTAGCTAAAAAGAACAGACCTATGATAACATCAAAATGATATTAAAATAAATCTTTGAAAGTCAAAAATTTTCTAACATAAAAGTATAAAAGAAAAATTAAAAAGGCTCGAGGGAATAGGCGCTGTTCAAGATGCGCTAGTCGTTCAAAATCTCTCAATATACTTACAAGTTAATTTATTGAAATAAATTGAAATAAATCGTTTAAATAGAAATTTAAAATAAATCGTAATTGAGTAAAAAGTGACTTTTAGTAATCATTTTGGAATCATTTTGATGTCATTTTGTTACAGTCACTCATGTTCTATTTGAGTATTGCGCATCTATAGAAATATATTGTTTGTATAATTTATATTGCAAAAAAAGGATACGTCCAGAATAATACGTATGTCTGTAGAAGATTTTGCAATCACATATTAAGGAAAAAATATATAGGTCAGCCTTCGAAAATAAACCCTCTAAAACGTTTAGAGTGAATTTCACCCTAAAAAGTGAATGTTTCTAAAAAATTGAAATTTGAGCCAAAAACCTTTTCAAAAATTGGCTTAATTTTCACTTTTTAGAGTGAGATTCCACTTCAAAGAATTTAGAGAGGAACCTATTCTTTAGGAAACAGTGTAAAGGATACGCAAAGTCCTCCAAAGAATCCACTGGTCAAGAGATGCCGTCTGCTAATAAAATATTTCCTCCACTGGCCGCCAGCCTTCATCAACAGCATCGCCTACGAAGATGATTTGTGGCATTATGTACATTTATTGCTAATTCTAATATGGTGCTCTTACCCACAGCCCGAAAACCGCAAAAACGTAAAACCCGAATCCGTACAACCCGGTCAATCCTAGCAGTCCTGCTGTGCCACCCGACAAAGCTGCCATTGAGATCTTACAATATTCTACAACTGCAGCGTTGTTTGCAACTGCTGTCTCACTGTATGCAACAATCTCTGCAATACATAATCATATTTAATAACTGCTTTAGTTAACATTTAGCAATGTTCTATTGCATATCTCTGGTGAAATTTTTGAAATTTTTATACAAATTGGAATACCTTTCAAAAATACTGAGAAAGTTTACATTTTTTTAATTAGAATTTTTCATATATGTGAATTATGAAATATTCTCATACTATAATTTCTGAATAATCTTACAATAATTCAGATTTGATAATAGAATAAGAAATTATAGAAATCTTAGAATATGTATTTCAGAATTCTTCGTAGATAATGAACCTATAGAAAAGATGTCGACTTTCTCAGCACTTATGAAAAATGTTACAATTTAATATAAGATCTGAGAAATTAGTATAGAAAATTTAAGAAATTTTCTAAAAAAATATACATAAATTCTAAAATTTACATAAACATTTTTTTAAATTATATGAAAAATTCTGAGAAAAATATTCACCAGGAATGAAAACTAGGAACTTCTTTAGAAACGCGAAAATTACTCAACAATTCAGACTCATCGATCGTGACTAACTAGTTATGTTACTTTGTGGATTAATTAGATTAAATGTGATTGATTTTATTAATTTATAATTTATATGTTGCTGCGTCTAAAAAGTAAATAAGTAAATAACAAACATAACCTCTCGAGAAAGTCTTTATAATGTTGTTCAATTTTCTTGCGTTTACCACAATTGCACTTATTTTCAAGATAATTCTCACACTTACCGCCGCTTTTCTCTTGCTTCGTTTTTATTTTCCCCAACATTATTTTATTAATTAACGGGACGTTAACCTAACAGCAAAAAAATTAAAGGTATGTCTGCACGAACGCACGAACAGTGTCATGTCCAATCAGCTGTTTCTATCGAGACACGTCAGCTTTTGCGCTGTGTACATTCGGGAACTGACGGCGGCAAGTTTAAAGATAGTCACGTAGCTCGTGAGACATTGTTAAAAACTTATAGATTCAATGTCTTCAATAGACAATTGTCTGGAAATCACTAGCATGATGTAAGTTTTTAATAAGTTACTTATCTATTAATTACTAATTTTTAATAATAGATAAATAAAAAAACTCTAATTAGATTAATGCTCTACTTTAATGTTTATTGATAAAGAATGATTATAGAACATGTAGTGTATATACATCGTTTTATTTATTTCCTGAAGAATCTATTCTATTGCATTCTGTTCCCGTGACAATGACATATTATGTTGAAAATCTTGGCAAAGATCGATGGCAACGAAAGCAAGGTACAAGATTATAATAGTCGTTTGCTGAAATTTGATAATGTTATAAACCGAATATCGCCAAATGATTTATTATACGTGATAGGTTTTGTGTTAATTAAATTCTGTTGTTTTAATTTAACATAATACATTAGTTCGTTCAAAACATACGAGTTTGATATAAAATTATCAACAAGTTCTCGATAAATTATTTAATCAAAATGCATAAAATATACATATATGTATGTAAACAATTTCTTACAGTGTCTTATACGATATATAATTGTACGGATCATATAAATTGAAAAATTTTGTGATAAGTGTAATATTCCACAATTAAAAAAATTTATTGCAATAAATAACTAATCATTTCAACTTCTCACGTTCTTATGTATTTTATTTTTAATGCTTAATAAGAATATTTATTATGTAACCTCCCAGCAAACAAGCTGACATTATTTATCGTCATTTTGACATCCAAGACGTCATTTTGGCGTCAAAATGACGATAAATAACGTCAGCTTGTTTACTTTAACATTTTTTTAAACTTGTGCGACATGTTAATTCACATCCAATGTACAGACGTAATACAGACACTGCCGATCTTTATGTTGATTTCTTGTGACTGCTTTTTTTTTTTTTTTTTTTTGTACAAATTGCAATTCTGTGAATAATTATGTATTTAAGCTTCTTGACACGTTCTATATCTACTAAGGTGAGTTACTCTACTTTTTAATGTTTTACTTTTTTCCATAATAATCAGTTTTCTTGTATCGCCAGAGTTTATATCACTTCATCTCTGGCAATTTGTGAGTGACACAATCTTTTTGGATATGTGCAGAGCATTTCGTTATATCTGTATTGCTGAAGAGGATTCCAAACCTAAGTAGAACACAGAAGTCATGAGGACATCATCATGACCTCATTCACTTATAAGTCAATTTTTAGTATCAAATGACGTCATGATGACGTTCTGTGATACCATTATGACTTAATTATGACTCCATGTTCTACCTGGGAAGTGAGTTGAAACGTTCAAAATAAAAAAGACATCATTTATCGACAGAATATTCATAATTTTCATTATTTTAAAATCTTACGCCTGATCACTTTCGTTCGACTCTCATTAGCCTTGATTTATATTAGTTATGTTTGTAATCATTTCAAAATTATAAAAAATTGAATTGTTGTAATTATTTTCGTTCTACTTATTATTGCGATCACCAAGAGTTTTATGTTAGTACTGCTATAATGATTTACATAAATTTTAAGAACGATGCAAAAAATAATTTGTTAAAAAAACGAATAACATTAAATAAAGAACTATGTCGTATAAAAATCATTCATATTTTTTAATTTATTACATATTGATTAAAAAGTCACTGACAACCCTTGGATAATTCCAACGTCGCAATTGCGAGTCTCCGAGGTTTTCTCAGCTATGATACGAAACGCGCGGAGCGGAGCGGTTTGCTCGGCTCGAGGCTGAAAATAGTCGTCGCTCCGCTCGGCTCAGCATAGCTCCGTTCAGCACAGTTCCTCGAGCTCCGATAGATATTTCGTCGCGGGGGCCCGATTTAAAGCGGTCAGGAAAGAAGGAGACTCGGCATCCCGAAAAATCCCTCAGCCGGGTTTAAGATATACGGTTTTTCGCGCCCTTATGCAATAGTGGTGCGTTTGCTGTGCGTGTGTTCGTAAATTTCTACGTGAGATTGCGTAGAAAGTTTATTCGTTGATTTGTGACGAAGTAAAACGTTATCCTGAGGTGAGTCTTCGCGGTGAATCGTCGCGATTAATTCTATCTCTTTTTATTCGCGAGGACATGTGCGGTTTCAAAACCGAAACCACCAGTTGCACCCTGTTAGGGCGTACGTGTGTATGTGTGTGTGTGTATGTGTCTGTGTATAATTGTGTGCGTGATACTTTGAGTGACGTGTATGTGGCAGAACGTATAAATGTTTTTTTTTTTTGCGTAGTAATCCAGCTTTTTTAACTAATTAATTAATTCTGTGGAGTAGTTTATTAGGAATGTTATAAATGTGACTTCTCTCTCTCTGTATGATGAATTTGGAATACCACAAAAAAATATCATGCAAACATGACAATGATTTTATAGCTTTAATACACACGCTACATAATCATTAAATTAATTTTAAAATAACAATAATAATAAATTCAAGGTTAATAAGAATCAACGCGGAAGAGGGCGCGCAATATTAGTATGAAATGATAATTTGACTCCATTGTTCTCACATTCAAAACTTAGAATAAAGAATTAAATTTTGTTGGTTTAATTTAATATAATATGTTCACTGATGGGCTTCTTACAATTATCACAATTAATGTTTAATAATTTATAATAAAGAAGACATCGCAGAATAATGGAGTTTATATGTATATATATATATATAAAAGTTATCATTCCATATTAATATTATGCACCCTTTCCCGCGTTGACTCTTATTAGCCTTGAATTTGTTATTATTGTTATTTTAAGAAATGAGAGTCTTGTTAAAATATTCTATTACTAATTTAAAAAACAAGCTTGGTTTAATAATAACATGGATAAATGCTTAATTACTTATTAGAAGAAGCTTAATACGTTTCGAATTTTAAATATTATTTTCGCAATTTTAAATTCAGCAGACAGTCTTAAAATTAGAAAGTCGGTTTTATATTCTTATGCAATGCTGCTTTCTGGAATAGCTCTGCCAGAAATGACGAAAAGACATAAAAATGTTCCGAAAGACGAAATATTCTCTCTTTCTCTCTCTCTCTCTCTCTCTCTCTCTCTCTCTCTTCCTCAACTGCAGAGATAGGAAATTTATTTCACTATTATTTCACTTTGATGTTTCTTTGTAATGTCATCGTGAAATAATATTGAGAGTAACAGTAAATCGTTTCCGATAAAATATTCAATACCGCGAACGACGAAGATAAACGAAATATTTATAGCACATGTTAGAACATGTAGATTTTATCGACTTCCTATGAAATTTTTATTTAATTCATTCTGAAACTAATTTTATCAGTAGTACAATAAATATCCATGATTAATATGGATCTAATTACTATAAATAAACATTTAAGAATTTTTGAAGATAGATATTCACATGTGCTTTACGAGAAATATCTTTAACCTTCAATCATCATATTAAACGCGATAATGGGAAAACGAATCTCACATGGGGATATTTCGGTAAGCCATCGCGGATGCATCTATTTCTGCCGCGTTGCTGGAAATAAACTCTCAGAGAAGGTAAAATCAACCAGGCGTAATTCTGTGTCGATGCATTGCAGCGTCGTTGCCAAACTAGATTTTTTTACTATTCAGGTGTAAGACAGAGAGAGAGAGAGAGAGAGAGAGAGAGAGAGAGAGAGAGAGAACAAAGATTTTGTGTTCAATAAAAATATAAACAAAATATTATATAATAATATTACGAAATGCATTCAATATTTTTATGTAATTTTCATCGTTCTCGATGACTTTAATTTCGTAAAAATAAATAAAATAATAGCAAAGCTTCTTAAGATTCTAATTTTTATATTTTAAAAACGTTACTGTATATCATAACAAAAATTTTTGTTGCTATGGAATACCATATATATTTATCAGAATTATTTTTATCGTTCGAGTGCTATATTGTGATCCATTCAAATAACAAATGTGTATACATTATGACAAATTATTAAATATTAATTGATAATTGTAAAAAAACTCATCAGTGAACATATTAAATTAAACTGGTAGAATTTAATTCAGCGCAAAAACTATAGCATCGAATAAATTGTTTAACGATATTCGGTTTATAACACACATTTTCAAATTACAGAGCAAACCACTATTATAATCTTATTCTCATTGCAACGCCATAATTAAATAACTGTTATACATACTATTTGTGTGAAAATTAAAAGCTATTTAAATGTGCTTAAATTAACGTTAACAACTTATGTTCCATTTATCGCTCGTAGTTAGTGTATAATATTGTTTGCAAATATCATTAATCGGTATTTTTGACCTTTATATTTAAATCGAAACTGGAGTATTAATAGCTATAAAATTTATGCTTTTTACGTTCGCAATATAAGCGAATTGGATCAAATTAATCTTAAATTGACGTTTTATTTGTGTCATTTTCCGACTGCTTTTGTAATCTAAGATACTTTCTAATTCTGTAACGTAATCCGTCGGAGCATTCACTCATGACTCACTCATGAACACTCGCTTTTGTGTTCATCAGTAAAATAAGAGATGTGTTTATTTGAAACTATTTTTGTAACTTATACAAAAAAATCGGAATACACGTGTCTCTTCAAGCTTTTAGAATTTTAATAACACATACGAATATTAATAATCAAGACTGTTTGAAAATATTTAATGCTACTCCATTTTCAAAAACTAATTTAATAAATCCAATTAATATGAAAAGCCAAGTTTTTCTCTTTAATTAAAAATGAAATATACAGGGCGTCCCGTAAGTTTTTGCCAACAGCTTTTATGTAGATAGAGCGGACTAAACTCAGTCAAAAAGTCCTCTACCATTTTGCAATTTTCGCAATGGTTAACGAGATATTAATTACTAAAAATGGCCGAATATTGATCTTCAATAATTTTTTACTCAAATACTAACAACTTTACAGAAAAACAGCAAGAGCAAAAATTATTTATTTTCTTCTCATAAAGTTTTGAAAATTTTTTCAGAATTTTTTAATACCGTATTTTCTCATGTTGGTAAAAATAAGAAAATGCAATACTAAAAAGTTGATAAAAAATTCTGAATAAATTCTTAGAGTTTTATGAGAAGAAAATAAATGATTTTTCTCTTTCAGTTTTTTCGACTCAATTTAGTCCGCTCTATCTACATCTACACAAAAGCGGTTGGCAAAAACTTATGGGACATTCTGTATAGAATAGAAAAATTCAAATTGTCAAAATAAAAAATCATTCATATAGAAGACCATTCCATTCTACTTTAAGTTATTGCAATATAAGTGACATAACACGTTTACGACGTACGTTTTCATCTTTGAAAACCACCCTCCACTCCTGTCGCTTTATTTTGATTTATTCGAAAGACAAAAAAAGAGAAACTGCTCAATAATATTTCACAGTGAGACGGACGGCTGCGTAACGCGAAACTCATGTTACATAGTCACATAACGTGGGATTTTTCGCGTTAACGGAATCTCGAGCATGCGGAATTTGATTGAAGGTGTTGGGCGCTTGCGCGAGAGACGTCGGCGAGCGGTCTGGGTGCCATCCGATCAGCAGTGGGTGATCGTCGGTACCCTACGACGGTTCAGCGCGCCGACGTTGACATCACCGTCGACGTCCTTGACAAGACAAAGAGGCCGGGGAACCGTGTGTAGCGACGGGAGCATGCCGTCCACGCGGAACTGTGAATGACCACTGCGTCCACTTCGAGCATCGATAAGGGTGCCTCGGACACGAAGTGACACGCGAGACACACACGCACATCCACGTACGCACGCACGAGAGCGCAGGGGTGACGCAGACGGAGGAGGGTCGTCCGCGCGTGAAAGCGCGTCGAAGGGATGGCCGACAGCGAGGGTGGCTCCGAGCAGGACGACGTATCATTCCTCCGCACGGTAAGTCTTACTTCGCTGTGTGAGATTTGGGATAGTGCGATAGAATAGGGCTTGGTTTCAAAGTTTAAGAAGGATGCTGGAGAAATTGTAACCAGAAAACTCATAGTATCAGTAATAAAGTTACTATCTTTTGGAATGCGAAGGAGATAAATTCGGGAGGCTGGTATCGAAGGATGCTAACAGGAATCTCATGATTGATGATCTAAGAATATTGAGGCGATTGTTATCAAGGCTGGAAAGATGAATTTGCGTGAAAAGTATTCTGATCTCTTTTCATGCAAATCAGAAGCGCATTTTTTATTGACGTGTATTTTTTCATTAACAACTTAATTATAATTAATTTTCTTTTCTGGATCCTTCATTATTCAACAAAATAACGTTATTTAAATAGCTAATAAATATTAAAGAGGGTTTCTCGCTTCAACGAATCTATTCGTGATAAACTGGACAAAGATCAAGTAGCTTCATTAATAACTCTGCAAAGTTCACATAAAAGATGGATGTGATATGAAAGGTGTAAAGGTGATGTTTATCGATAGGTTTGAAACGAGCCGAGTGTTAATATAACAGCCAGTGTGTCCATTAAAAGCACGTGAGAACGCGGAGGTGATTCGCGTTCAATGATTCGTTGATGTGTATGCGTGAAAATGAATGAATGCCGATGCAGTTGGAAGTTTGTTTGCACTACAAGAAGTGAGCAGACTATGCATTGCGCGAGCCGGTATATTGCACTGATGCAGTACAATGATAATATTACCATATAGCTTCGTACTTATAATTTCTGTAATGCATCTCGGCGAAAATATCGATTAGATGCGTTATACAGTAATCTGACAAATGTTTAATTCTAGAAATTTAATAGTTGAAGTTATATAACACATTATATATATTTTCAATTAAATTGAATTACAATGCAATTTAAAAAAATTAAAACAAAGTATTTATTTAATACTCAATAAACTCGAACTAATAATAAAATAACCGTTAGTTACAATTTCCCACTCAACAATATAATTGTAATATAATACAAGTTGTATATGACAGTTATATTCGAAATTGTAATTAATAATCATGTTACTGTTAGTTGATGTTTGTAGAAATAATTTAGTAATTTGTATTGATGGCGCGTTCACTTGAAGTAAATTTCAGAATAGTTTGCCTGAATACTTTCAATTTACAAATGTTCGCATACAATTTCTTACGTGAAAAGTCATAACAAGAAAAACCGTGATTTTAGTGAAACGTGGAAGCACTTAAAGTATCTTGCAGCACAACCTTGACCTCGTTCGACCTACAAAGATCATGCGCGTGAATATAGTCTTGTACTTGTGTCAGTGCGTCATTATATTTAATTTATGTGTATGTTATATCTATTTATTTGATATTTAATTAATTATCATACGAAGTAAAATTTATATGAAGACATTTTAAATATTTCATAAATGCAAATATTCTTCCATAATTATAAACTACTAATTATGTTTTATTTTTAATACTTCATTAGCAGTTTAATTAAAATTTTTTAAATAAATATATATTTAATAAAAATAATATATATTTCATAAAAACGAAGTTTGAAAATTAATTACAAATTGTACAATTTCAAAAAATTCAACTCATCACACAAAATTGCTCACAAATTATACAAAATTGTGTATTTCATTCGTGTTCATTACAACTGTTTTACTATTCTCTTTCATTTTTATCTAAAACTCGATACTTTAAAATCATAAAATATATGTATATTAAAGGTACACATATAGTAATGTATTGCCGATAATATTTCGTGCTGCAATTTTGAAATAAAATAAACATTTAAAGGTTATAAACGCATTTCGACGAGCGGAAATTTTCAATATGTTATTTTACCGGTCATAGCTTATTTTCTAGTTTCTCATATTTTTCATATTATATCTGTTTTGCTTCTTTTGTGTTACTGGCGGATTTTCTTTTAGGATGTTTAATCGCTATCTAGATCACGACGTCTGCGTCTTCTTCTTATCCTCCTCCGTCCCCTCCCAGACCTCCGTCGTCTTTTCTTTTCTCTTTCTGCCAAACGTATGTACTTTATCCTCTCTTCCTGAGGCAAAGCGCACCATTCCTTGCCAGCCTGACGGGCGACTTCTGTCACATGTTTGTTGGGCATTTTATAGTACATCTCAAGATAAAAGATGATAAAGGGATTCTGTGAGATAATTCTTCGTCTCCTCCTTCTAGATCTAGATCTAGCTCCAGTTCTGGATTCCTGGCCACAACGACATATAGCTTTTCTTTCGGCCCTTCGTCTGCACCGATCCAAACGCGCTTGCTCAGCGTCTGCCTCCTTCTTCTGTTCCGTCTTCTTATCCGTTTCTTCAAAAACACCTCTGTAAAGGGTTTTAACCGGTTTATCTCATTATTGTATTTCATTATAATTCATTGTAAATTATAATGCATACAAATATATACAAATTAATTAACATCTATAATATTCAGTTCAAACAAATTGTTAATATTCTCTCCAAATTAATTGTTAATGCGCGCATTTTTATTATGCATTTAGCACAATATGTATTACCGACGATTAAAACGATCAAAAAACTTGATTTTCATGAAATTTCCGATTTTTCTTCAAAGTCATTTGTCGACTGCTAATTGACTCACTTTACGATCAGCGGCAAAAATTTTATCACCACGAAGTATACATAGGATGTTCTGGAAATCATAACCGAGAAGGAGATAATTCCTCAAGTAAAAAAAATAAGTTGAAAATATAGCGTAAAATATTTTCGTACATTTTTAATAATTTTTCAATTAATAAAATAAATACTTTTTGAAAATTATTTTGAAATTTATTGCATTATTTTAAATTATACCAAACTTAGACTGGCCTAGAAATAGCAGTGAATAGTGATTGAATGAATCAAGCTGATTATAGCTAGTTAAGTACTTGTGTACTTAACGAATATTCAAATTTGACTTTTTTGAAAACAGAACTTTATACAAAAAAAAATTTTTCTATATTTTTTATTTACCTTTACATGAGGAATCACCTCCTTCTCGATTGTATTATAATTTCCAGAACATCTTGTATACATAAAGCATACGGAACGTTGAGCAAAAAAATCAATTCTTCTCCAGGAGGACGGCTTTGATCATCAACACGGGTGCTATCTTCGTGAGGTTAAATAGCCTTTCACATTCTTAAAGAACCGATGTGGCGAAATCGCGTGCAAAGATACATTTCCGTTAGATTCGCCTCGCGATAATGTGCCATGCAAAATCGATGGAGACCAGGAAACGGATTATTCGCGTTCTTACATGAAACGTCACATCCGCACTTTTCGACAGGCTACCTTTCCTGCGAATGGATTACATATCCAAACACGACTGCGAAGCATGGAATATCGCTCACCTGCCATCGGATCTGCTTTCATAAATATTAGGATCCATCATCCGCCGTCACAATTTTTCACTTGATAATTTGGCTCGGTATTGAAAAGAAAGTGAAATGTCGTCCGCACGAAAACATCTGAAGCTATACGAATTTAATTCTCTCACTTCGCACGCTCGAAGATAGTCGATGCATGGATAGGTCCTATCGATTATGAACATTGCGATAACAAGAATTTTCTAATAGAATTGAATATTAAAAGGGTGCGCGCATACGCTCGCTACCGCTCCATCGGGATACGGTTAGTTCTGCGTGCAAAGTTAAATTTGTATGTAACTTTGTAATTGCGATCATTTGAACTTCGTCGTTAAAAGTTACTTCTTAGTAAGAAAAGAATTTAAGAAGAATTATTTTAAATTTTAATTTACTACAATTTGTTAATTCATGTAGAGAAAGTTTGAATAAAAAAAATTTATAATGGAACTTCAAGATTAAGAAAAATAAATTATTCAAGTTAGGAAAAGTAAATTACTAAAATTTTTGCAGATAAGGTAAAAAAGTATGTGTTACAATGTAATAATATCTCGAAATTTTTTTTATTAAAGTAGATGTCACTCTTAATTAATTACATTTCACCTTAACACCGTCTTCGAGGAGACACTTATAGTCGAGTGATTCATTGTGCAGTTCGCTGACAGTACTTTGCAACACGTGCTATGCACGTCGCGTGCATAGAAATCTAGTGAAGTTTCCGGCACATCGCATATGTTTTATCGTGGTTCTTCTTTAAAGTCGCTTCTTCAAAGCTAGTCGCTTTTAGTTAATTTTAGAATTTAATGTGACGCTGTTCTGACTGATCGATAGCTGTCAGCTCGCGTAGCTTTCATTAGTGATGTCGCATCGAAAAGTGATGAATTTATAATTAATATACCGCGATGCAGCGTGCGTCGGATGCACCTAGTATCGAACAACAAACGATATAGCACACGCACGATGGGAACACCTTTCTAAAGCCTCTTCCAGCTCAGTGGTGCCGTCACGAGGCTCATTTTTTTACCGATATGTTTATCAAACGATCACTTTATATGCTGATATTTCTAATGAATAAAGGAAGCAACGAATTGTTATATAAGTTGACTTGAGTAAATTTTAGTTGGAAAGGATTGAATTAAGCTTCTTTTTTTTAGAAAGGATTACTTCAAATAAATTTGTATTTTGATTTTAACAATGTTTAAATTTCTCTAAATATCTTCAATCGTGTATGTGATAACTTTCTCATATCACGTACAAACTTTTTTCCTGTACATCTGAACAAAAAATCTTGAAATGTGCAATATAAATGTGAAAAGATAAATATGATTTATGATTATTCGTCAGTTTGATGGAATTATAGGACTTATCTACTTGTAAAATGAAGGTTATCCTTGACCTATACCGCAATATGTGTTTCGATCGTCAACTGACGCCGGAAGTAAACGATGTATTTGGTTCATTATCATATAATGCATACGTCGTTCATCCACTAAATTACAAACAATTATATTATATTTTAATGTTAAGAGAAAAAATTGAATATAAAATCTTATGCACTTATGTGTGTGTTTCCATAATCTCTGATGTTACATTTATTAACAGTAAAATCTATATTTTAAACACTGCAGGAAGAAATTGGATTACATGTTTAATGCAATTATAATAATAAAAAAATTAAATAATAGAGAGTTCTCAATTTTTATTTTTGTCTTCTTAGTTTATCGTGTACACATTATATGAAAACATGATCATGAATTGGAAAATATTTTGAATACAAATACAATATTTCTATAATGTCTAATTAAGTTAGCAATTTATAAAACCGCAGTTCGCGTCATCAGCGAATTGACCGATTGCATTTTATTAATATCTCGATAAGCAAGATTCTTGCCAAATTTCCAGCGGAAACTTTCGGTACTTCGCGTGTTTCAAGAGCAAATATACGATCTCACGTATGGCGAATCGCGTGCCATTTCATTTAACCCAGCAGGAAGTTATGTTAATGTGTCCTTTAACATTATTTATGCATTTTTCTCCGTTGTATTTTAATTTTTTTTAACTTGAACAAGTCAGGAATGTGCGTGCACGTTCATAGTTACACACACCGTCGCACTGCATCCGATAACCGAGAAAATATTCGAATTATATTCTTACTAAACATAGAGAAAAAAAAAGAGTGAATGTGGTTGTGACGACATAGGTAGGATACGATTAATACGGTGGTGTAAAGCAATTTTATTTGCACGAACGGTCCTGCGAGCCGGGTTCTGCAATCGATTTCAATTTAACTCTATAATCGGTTGATTGCCTTAGATACGTTGTTATCATTCTTGATTGCCAATAAATCGTACTGATTAGCGACGCAAATTGAAGAATAATTCGAGTACGAATTGCTTGTAGGTACTAACAATTTTTTAATCAAAAACTTATAAACGCGCGTGCATGTTTAATCTACTTTAATTTTATACAATGTACTGCAATTTTCTAATAACATAATAAAGATTTCTCTAATAATAAAATAAAGATAACATTTTCTAAAAATGTTTTATGTAGAGGAAGGTCACCGATACTGACATAGGTCTCCTAAAGCGACATCCCCTTATTTCTTAGAAACTAACCTTTGCACCTTATTAATATTAATAAAAACGTGATCTGTTTAGTTAATTAAAGAAGAGTATACAAACTCATAATTCATATATTTGTGGCTTATTTCTATACCAAATCAGCTAAAAACAAATTCTATGAATCCGAGAAGAAAATTCTTATGGTGTTCTTTTGTAAATTGCGTAATTAAAATAATGGTGACTGTATTATTGATAATATTATGTCACTTTAAATGTTTATAGTTTCATAAATTAGTTTTTTTTACAGAATAGGATATATATCTTTATTTGTAGAATAGGAATGTTGGCATTATTGTCTACTATGTCAGTTTTGGAGCCCATTTTGTCAAACGCTCATTTTTGCATAACTTACGAAAAACTTAATTATTGCAAAATTGCAAACAGTATTATAAAAACTGCTTATACTATCTAAAAGAAGACACTTTTTAGTTTGTATTTATGTTTTTGAAGTTGCATTTTTACCTTTTGTTTAAGAAATATTGTCTAAAAACAAAGTAGTATATCGGTATCGGTAACCTTCCTCTATTATTGTATTTGCGATAACAGTTATATAATTTAATATGAGATTTTTAATTGGATTACACGCTTTATTTAGAACGAAGGTAAAAAAGAAAGCACTTAGATAATTGTTGGGCTGTCGTATTAATTTTCTCGTCGTACCTCGTACATTAAAACTGGGCTTGGAAATACAGGACGATCTTATCTTAGTAACTCATCATACGTAATTTATATAGGTGTGTACCGATTGAGTAATGAAGTCATCTGATCTAACCATATTACAGAAATACGAGATAAAAGACAACTCTCTCTGAGACTTTCGAGTTTTGCCAGCTTCTACATTTGCTCTCATATATTTTTCATTCAGTTTTTCGTTCAATTGACTATTCTCTTTTTCCTCTTTTCCTATTTCTTTATCGTGTATTAAGTTAAAGTTAAAGGGCATGAATACATAATTCTTTGTTTACAATAGCTGGCCAAGTGTAAAGAAAAATAAAACCGTTGATGTAAGAAATTAATATTTTGAGATTACAACTACAGAAAAGAGCAAAGAGGATGGAGCTTGAAAAAATCCAGAGTACAGAGTAAAATCTAATGCAAAGATGAATAAAGTATACGCATTCAAGAGTTAAAATCGAACGACGCAAATTGAGTGACTCATTCGACGAGCTTTTCGAGGCGCGATATTATTGCAAACCTGTATTAAATAACGCCGTTTTCTACTTCTCGCGGTGACGCGTTCAAAAATTACGAAGTGCATTCGAAGCAAGTATACTTGTATGTCCGGTCCTCGTGCATTCCTGAGGTCGTCCAAATTGGTTTTGGCACGGCGGCCGTGTTCTATCGTTCGGCCGGCATCATAATTCATGCGATTTTGCAAAAGTTAATTATTACTACCGCAGTCAAAATGCTTTTTAAAATGACATCATTCGGATCAACGATATCAGTTCGTCATCTGACGACATTCTCATTAAGCCTCAATTCCGTATCCGCAAAACTCTACGGATCGTTACTCCGTGGAACTATCTGTTGTGGATTGCAAAATCCTTAGGTGGTATTGCGCATTATTGCAGCACAGCAAACATTAACGTGATGCAATCTCGAGAGAAATTTGTGTCCGAGATCTTTTTTAATTGCGATTAACATAAATTTCGAATTTAAAGCGATGGAAATATATGTGTGCATATATATATATATATTTAGTTAAAGTAATTATTGAAGATCTACTCGAATTGAAAGACAATGAATTATTTTTTCAGAAATTTTATAAAATTGTTCTAAAATTAACGTTCTCAGCTTTAATGCCCGTCAATGCCATTCTGGGTATGGCAACTTTTTTTCCAAAGCTTTTTCCACATTGCCTGTAACATTTTTATTAATAAAGATATGTATATAACATGTGCTAGAGATATTATATTTCTTAATGTCATCTGACGTTTCAATTAAAAAAATTTCATAATATGTTTATTTTTATGAAAATTATAAATGATGAATTGAATTATATACCACACGCAAATGTGTCGTAACGTAGAGTAGAAGTGAAGTTTGCTTTCTTTAAAAAATAAAGTAGATCATTATTAGAATTAGAAAGTAGAACACATATAAAAAAAGATATCTAAAATTTACAGGAGGATATGGTATGCCTGTCCTGTACCGCAACAGGAGAGAGGGTTTGCCTGGCAGCTGAGGGTTTCGGCAATCGACATTGTTTTCTCGAAAATATCGCGGATAAGGTAAAAGCGAGCGCGAATTTCGCAAATAGTGTCACCTCGTCTTTGTGCGTACTTAATCCATCTTTTCTTCCAGAACATACCGCCGGACTTGTCGCAATGCGTGTTCGTGATAGAGCAGGCCCTCTCGGTGAGGGCTCTGCAGGAATTGGTTACCGCTGCCGGCTCCGAGACGGTAACGTATAAATTATCTGCTTAATATCGTACACTCGTATGACTTCAGCTTTGCTAACGAAACTCGTAGATCCAGAAAATAGTCGTAGTTTCTATTCACGCCATCAATGAAACAGCGACTCCTTCATTTCAAGGGAGGTGAATAATTCGAACATGTGACTACGAGGCTCATACAGCCGAGCTTGACTCATACGATCCACTATTGTAGTCTGTGCGAATAGTACGATCACTCGCGTCTCGCGATTAGAAGCTCTTTACATTCCAAATTAATGATCAAATATTAGACTGTTACACGCGCTCGACCTGCATAGGAGTGGGCCATAAAACCCGCCCCCTTTTGCCAGTTTCTGTGTAAAAAGTCCCGGAACAATACACAGGTCTAAGAGATGTTTAAGAAAGAAGAAACGCTGAATGGTATCCGAAAAGATTGGGATGTCTTCTAGTGTAACATCTTTACAACGTCTGTTAGATCTTTAAGTTTGCTCAATTTTCCGCCGAATAATTTCCGAAAGATTCCTGATACGGTCCCCCCCCCCGCCACACCCTTTTCCGAATAATGATTGTGGCATGTGTCCATAGTCGTGTAAAAAAGATTTCACATCAATTTCATCAACTTCATGTTTTATCATTCTCTGTTGATGGTTCCCATCTGTGATTTTGTCACTCGAAACATGTTAGCATTGTAGAAAGAATAGAACATCATGTAAAAATTTAATCGAGATCCATTATCATAAATAATCGCGAAATGCATTATTTTATTTCCCTTGTTCTTTTTCTGTGCCTTTTTCTTTACAACAAATCTAAATTCGACACCTGACGAACGAGATTCATTATCTCTTATGTTTCTCTTTGCAGCAACAAGACAGTTTAGTAAGTATAATTTTCATACCGTCTGCGAGGTGCCGTAACATGCTCTTGGGTAAAACGATCATTTGTTTGTGTGTTGGAACATCGTAATGTCCGATCGAATTTGGGTGAAGATACAAGTGTAGATACGTTTATTTCATGGCAAAGGCTTCAGCCAAATTTCGAAATACGATAGTCCATATTCACGTCTCTATTTAGCGCCATTTAAACGTGATTCTACATTGCATTTTACGTTGCATTTATACAACATAAAGATATAGACTTATAAATTATAGTAAATAGTAATAATTTTTAAAATCTATTTTACATGATTTTTAAGATAAACAGCTGTATTGTTTTGATTTTTTACATTTACATAATAGAATTTTATAGAATTATTTAATATAGAATATTTAATAGAATTTTAATAATAATTTACTTTTTGCGCAGAATTATATAATAATTAATTAATTTTCCTAAACTTTTTTTTTTATTAAATATCGAGATGTTATTTCACCCATCGATCAATTAAGCTATCATGTCTGAGAACTACAGTTAACATTAATATAACGTACATATTAGAATTAATAACAGCAACCGCTTTCTTTTGTTTGTATAATGTCGTATTAACATCTACATTCAAAAACGCGTTTAGTGATGTGTCTTCAATTTACGCCTCGTAAGCTTCGCATCGTAGCTTGATCAGCACTTATGGCCTTCTCTTATCAGTACGCTTGTAGAAATTGTCTAAGAAACTGTTATTTTGCGAACTATTAAAATCTCGTACGATATATAGAGAGGGACACTAGCATGAGGGGTTGCAAGGGCTTTGACCAATCCTTTGATGCTTCCAGGGAAAGGGCACCGGGTCAGGGCACAGGACCTTGTTATACGGTAACGCCATATTATTGCGACATCTAAACAGCGACATGGTAAATTGCTCTTCTTTATAATAACGCTGTTATGCCACATTAATTTTTCATGGTTACGTAAATCTATGATCGTATACTGCAGTACCTGGCGTGTCTATCCACGAGTTCGTCGAACGATAAGCTAGCCTTTGACGTCGGTCTACAGGAACATTCTCATGGTCGGTGCAACACACGCTTCAACTCAACAAATTCTTTTATCGAAATTAACGTTATTTTTCTCTATTCCGGCATTGGCATAATATATCATATTACTTTGTTAAACATTCATGAATAATTACTTCTTAAATGAAATTGTAACTTTTACAGAATTGAAACAAAATTGAAGTTTAAAGTTGCATGTAAAGTTGATAAACTTTTTACGGATCGAAAAGTATGAATGGAATCTCGTGATCGTTCGAAATTTCTTAAAGTTTTATTTTTGAAGGTGAGGCATGTTGGTGGACTGTGCATCCCGCTTCCAAGCAGAGATCCGAGGGTGAGAAAGTGCGTGTAGGTGACGATCTTATCTTGGTATCTGTCGCGACCGAACGATATTTGGTAAGTTTGGTAAAAGATTATAATATTTCAAAGAATTTCTTGGAATAGAAAAAAATTCATACTTCTCTCGTTTCAGCACACGACGAAAGAAAATGACCTGTCGGTGGTAAACGCATCTTTTCACGTGACGCATTGGTCGGTACAGCCTTATGGAACCGGTATCAGTAGGATGAAGTACGTTGGTTATGTTTTCGGCGGTGATGTGTTGAGGTTCTTCCACGGAGGCGACGAGTGCTTGACGATACCATCGACATGGAGTCCAGCACCCAGTCAAAAGTAAGCTCTTTTAGAGAGATAAAATAATCTCTTTTATAATTACAAGAGTAGCGTAAAATTATAAAAAAATTATCGTTATTTTGAAAATAGGAGAGAGGATAGAAATAATCGTTTTACAGATATTTTCTTCGTGGTTTTACAGCCTCGTAATCTACGAGGGCGGCAGCGTGATGAGCCAAGCGAGGTCGTTATGGAGACTAGAACTCGCCAGAACAAAATGGGCGGGCGGCTTCATCAACTGGTTACATCCCATGCGGATCAGGCACTTGACAACTGGACGTTATCTTGGTGTGAAGGAGAACAACGAGCTCTATCTGGTCGATAGGTTAATATTTATTTTTAGAAAAGTTCAAGGGTCATGGCGATTCTTAGAGGATCATGATAATGTTTCCTAAATTCCGAATTTTTTTTTTTTTCGAAGGAACGAGGCGACAATTGAAACCTCGACGTTTTGGTTACGGCAAGAGAAGGACGATCAAAAGATCGTTCTTGAGGACAATAATGCCGATTATAAAATACGGTGACTCTACCGTGATTATGCAACATGCCACCACGTGCCTCTGGGTGTCTTATAAAGTAAATAAAAAATTAATTTTTCTAAAAATTTTTTCTAAAACTAAATATCAAAAATAATTAAATAATTGTAATCAAAGTTACGATAGTAATTCTCGAGATTTATCGCAATATTGTTTTAGTCATACGAAACAAAAAAGAAGGGCGTCGGAAAAGTCGAAGAGAAACAGGCGGTACTCCATGAAGAGGGTAAGATGGACGATGGTTTGGATTTTTCCAGATCACAAGAAGAAGAATCTCGCACCGCCCGCGTCATCAGAAAGTGCAGTAGCTTGTTTACTCAATTCATCACGTAAGTTTTTGCAATTAAAATATTTTTAAAATGTAAAAAGAGATAAAAGAAAATTATGTACTATATATAGAAGTATGAAAGAGAGATAAAAAAATATCGGATATCGAGTAGAGAGAAAACGAGATAAGAGTTTACTAAAAATATCGAATACGTTTTAGAGGCCTAGAAACGCTGCATAAGAGCGTCCATGTTTTTTCAAAACGTGAATCTTAATGAAATGGTAATGTGTCTTGAAGATTTGATCAATTACTTTGCTCAACCCGAGGACGACATGGGTAAGAAGATACTCTTACATGATATTTTTAGATTTTTCTTTCTTTCTTCAGATTACTTTGCTAACAATAGATTCTTTCAGAACACGAAGAGAAACAGAATAAGTTCCGAGCTCTTAGAAATCGTCAGGATCTGTTCCAAGAGGAGGGAATATTGAATCTGATTCTCGAAGCTATTGACAAGATTAACGTGATTACTTCGCAAGGATTTCTTGTCGCTCTTTCCGGCGACGAGAGCGGCCAGGCTTGGGATCAGATATCCGGGTATCTCTATCAACTACTGGCAGCCATTATCAAAGGAAATCACACCAACTGCGCTCAGTTTGCCAATAGTAATCGTCTGAATTGGTTGTTTAGCCGATTGGGCTCGCAGGCTTCCAGTGAAGGAACTGGAATGTTGGATGTACTTCATTGTGTCCTGATTGATTCGCCGGAGGCTTTAAACATGATGAGGGTATTGTAAATTACTTTTGCAATGTAGATTAGCTATTTGACAATAATATTCTCACAATTAAAGCTTTTATAGAATGAGTTAAATCTAATAAAAATTTATGTAAGATAAATCTAATTTTTTCAGGATGAGCATATAAAAGTAATTATTTCTCTGCTGGAGAAACACGGTAGAGATCCGAAAGTTCTGGACGTCTTGTGTTCGCTATGCGTCGGTAATGGCGTCGCGGTACGCTCTTCGCAAAATAACATTTGCGATTTTCTGCTGCCTGGAAAAAATTTGCTCCTCCAAACGCAGCTGGTGGATCATGTGGCGAGCGTCAGACCGAATATATTTGTTGGCAGAGTTGAGGGTTCGGCTCTTTATCAAAAGTGGTATTTCGAGGTAACAGTGGATCACATTGAACAAACGACTCACATGATGCCGCACTTGCGAATCGGATGGGCGAACACCGCTGGGTAAATTAAGTTAGATTACGTTTTCTAAGTCTTCATTTACATTTTGAATATAAAAATGTAAAGTGCATAGAAAGAACGATTTTGCTAAAATATTTAAAACTTTAACTAGATATAGATTAGACATAGACATAGACTAGACAAAAAATTTTAACATTTTAATAACCAGCTTGAATATATCTTATATAATTATTTTGATGATTTTAACAAAATTATTTTTAGATCTGTATCTATCTAAATTTTTAGATGCTTCAGCGAAATCGTTCTTTCCTGTGTATTTTGGCTATAATTTCTTAAAGTAGTTACATATTTCGGTATTAAATCTTAAGTTTCTTAATAATGCAAAAATTTTTTTCCTCGCAGTTATATGCCGTATCCCGGTGGTGGTGAAAAGTGGGGTGGAAACGGCGTAGGCGATGATTTGTATTCGTTCGGATTTGATGGCGCTCATCTGTGGACCGGCGGTAGGAAGACGCAAGTAGTTCAAAATGCCACCGAACCTTACATACGAAAAAGCGACGTGATCGGTTGCGCTTTGGATCTGACGGTGCCGGTGATAACGTTTACTTTCAATGGCACTCACATCATGGGCTCTTTTCGGAACTTTAATCTAGATGGCATGTTCTTCCCTGCCATCAGTTGCTCGTCTAAACTCTCCTGCAGATTTTTGCTGGGTGGTGATCACGGTCGACTGAAGTTTCAATCACCGGAAGAGTTTTCGCCGCTGGTGGAGAGCCTGCTGCCGCAACAAATTCTGTCACTGGACCCGTGTTTTTATTTTGGTAACATGAACAAGGTGGTTCTGGCGGGTCCGTGGCTGATTGAGGACGATACCGCCTTCGTTCCAGCTCCGGTCGATACTTCCATGGTCAACCTGCCTGCCTATGTCGAGCAGATTAGAGATAAATTGGCGGAGAACATCCACGAGATGTGGGCGATGAATAAAATCGAAGCCGGTTGGATCTACGGCGAGGTCAGGGATGATCTCAGGAAGATACATCCCTGTATAGTACAGTTCGAGCGACTGCCAGCTGCAGAAAAGCGCTACGATACTCAACTGGCTGTGCAAACCTTGAAAACCATTTTAGCACTGGGATATTACATCACCATGGATAAGCCTCCATCTAGAATAAAAACTTTGAGGCTACCAAATGAACCGTTTTTGCAAAGTAGTGGATATAAACCAGCGCCTCTTGATCTAGCTGCGATCACATTAACTCCCAAAATGGAAGAGCTCGTAGATCAACTAGCAGAGAACACGCACAATCTTTGGGCAAAGGAAAGAATCAGTCAAGGGTGGACGTACGGATTAAATGAGGATTCGGAAATGAGGAGAAGTCCCCACTTGGTACCCTATCCGAAAGTCGATGAAGCTATCAAAAAAGCCAATCGAGATACAGCCAGTGAAACCGTCAGGACTCTGTTGGTTTACGGATATATGCTTGATCCACCCACTGGAGAACAGCACGAGGGTGAGAATTTTAATCCAGGCTAAATGTACTCGTTTATTTAAAAAACAAATCAAGTTTATTTCATTGAAGGTAACACTATATCTTTTTTTTTTTTCAAGTATTTACGAAACATATATATATATATATAATATAACATTACTGCTATTAATCTAATATTAATTATGCTTTTTTTTAATAATTAATTATTATACAAATAAAAATTATCTTCGTTCTCCTAAAGTCCTAAATTTTAATTTGTATTTGGTAAAGCTTTAATTGTGTGCTTTAATTAAATTCAAATAGCTATTATTTTTTAGAGTTTTTAGAGTACATATTTTTTTAAGATTTTGATAGATTACACGTATTAATATAATGTATTTACTTTCTGATATTTCTAGCATTGCTTTTGGAGGCAAGCAGATTACGACAATTATCCTTCAGGACCTACAGGGTTGAGAAACATTATGCAGTCAGCAGCGGAAAATGGTATTTTGAGTTCGAAGTTCTCACAGCTGGGCCTATGCGAGTCGGTTGGGCGAAAGCCGATTGTATGCCAGGAAGTATGCTAGGCAGTGATGAAAGTACTTGGGCATTTGATGGTTATAACGTAAGTGTCGATATAATTTCTCTTTCCATAATTTAACATTCAAAATTAGAACGACAATATTCAATGAAATTTGATGAAACAATTTTTCCAATTGTTAGAATGATAATTCGGCATCTTTCTAAAACACTAGATTTTTATTTCGAATTAAGTAATGAATAAATAAAATGACACGTAATAACAAATTAAATAAAAATATCTTTGCGTAAATTAAATTCAAATTTGCTTCATCTTTTATTAAAAAGCTATGTAATATTTTCTGTAATTTTAAATATATTGTAGCTACGAAAGGTGAGAACTTTACATAGACTTTAAATTTTCGTATTTAATTTATTTTTACAAAAATATTAATCAAGGAAGTTGCGTGCAATCATGGAAATTCTTGTATTGCAAGAATGCAAATATTAATATAAGCGTTATATGGCTCTTATTGCGATCTATGAAACATGAATAATCCATAAGAACATGAATGTCAGGTGACTAAAGTGCACGCTGGCACCCACGAGTCATTTGGTCACAAATATCAAGTGGGCGACATAGTTGGATGTTTCATTGACGTGGCAGACCGAACGATCAGTAAGAGTCTCATTTTCCAAATTAGCCGATTTTAGAGGCCCCACTATACGTATACACATCTTTTCTTTTCCTGAGTTTTCTCGTCACTACTATTGTCTTTGTCTCGCTCTATGTTTCTTTTCATGTTGACTTTGGTTTTATATCTTACATCCTTGTCCCAAGACAAATAAAATCGCTGGTGATATTTCATTCAGCGAAGTGTGGCTTGATCTTTATCGAGGGAGGAAAAACCGTGTAATTTCCTCGAGGTATCTTACTTAACTGTATACTATGCCGAAACTTTAATATTGCATAAGTATAAACGACATCGAGAACGATATTAATAGCGATAGAAGATAAATGTGTACAAGGTATTTAAAACCGCGGACAAAAATAGAGCGTTTGGATTACCGGTATGTCCTGATCTTCACGAGCGAAAGTAACCTTGAACTGGTGAACCATTCTGTTTTAAAGGAGGAAAAAGTATACTCGGGCACGGCCGAAACGTTCGGCAAACAATGGCAGGTCGGAGACGTTGTCGGTGTTTTCCTGGATCTAATTGACCGAACGATTAGTAAGACGGAATTTTTAAGCGAACGCTTTAGCTGCAATATTTCAAGCTATACACATACGATTTGATCTCTGGTGATAGATTACTGGATACAGACATTGCGATTTTTAACACGAACCGTTTTGCTCTGCATAGTTATTCGCGTTAGATAGTTCTTTAACATAATATTAAATCTCTATACAATATTAGATCTTTAATATAATATTAACCAAGTAGACATTATGCAAATTGTATAGAAAACAAAATATAACAGTGTAAAAAAATTAAATAAATAATCATACAAAATAAAAATAATATTTAATTTGCAGAATACAATATAATATAATTTTAGAATTATTTGATGTCCAAATAAACATTTAGGCAAAATTTTCGTGCCATGCACTTCGAGGAAGAGTCATTTCATTAACGCTTTCTCAATAAGAAAATTCCGTTGCGACGGTTGCTTAAACAACTGGAAAAACCATGCATTTTTCACACAAAATTATTTCATCTTGTTATTTTAACACACTTCTTTATGGGGTTAACCACAAAACCAGAAGCAATCCTGGTTTCTACCATCATTAATAATACCGCATTCTCTCAAGCGACGAAAATCATAATCTGCCCAATGTCTTCTCTGGTATCCAGTACTCTACTCAGTGTTTATACTGTCAGCGACAACAGTGCTTCTATAATTCATATCTACTAATCACTAACACTATGGTGACCCCAGATATTATATATATCGATCATATCACGTGCATTCTGAAACAGTAATCTCCGAATATACGATTGTTTTACGAACACAAAAACACACGATAAAAATTCTTCAAAAATGTCACAGCTTCTACATTTTTTAAAACTATTTATCTTTCTCTAAATATGATATTTTCTAAACTATTAATTACAAACTATTACCAAATACTGCACGTGAACGTGTATGGGTTAAACTATCGAATAAAAAATATTAAAGAAGATCTCTCATTGTCCTGTTTATGAACTGTTATACTTCTTATTTTTTATCTCTATATATATTTACATTTTGTTATTTTTTATTGTAAGATTTATTACTTAGTGTGTCTCTCTCGTGTATGATAATATTGCACATATTTGATTTTTAGTACATCACTTTCAAATAACGTCGCTTGCATGCGTATTTTGTCTGATTTTGTGTTAATAGGTCGTATGAGTAAAGATAAAGCGAATGATTTATTTTCGAATTTTGAAATATTTTAATATGTTTGTCTAAATACCTAAAACAATGGATGAAAGCAGATGCTTTTGTTCATACGGCCCTTAACACCTGCTTTGCTGTAATTTGTATTTACAAAGTGTTTCAACTAGCCGTTAAGAGAATTTATTAAAATTCCTAGTACGATTATTTTTTTACAAATCGTAAGAGCTTGCGTTTTATGTGCATAATATTTAATATTTACGAATTGTAATAATTATTTATCGCCTAATTAGATTTCTGTTCTTTCTTTTTCTAATAAGTCGAAACGAATGTTTGACAGTTCAAATTATTGAGTAAAAGATATATCATTTTGTACTCATTGTTGTTACTTTATTTTGTACAACTTTCTGAATTATATCGTTCATTTCGACTTTTCACAATGCTCAGTATATATCGTAATACAAATCTGCGAATTACGTAGGTTTTTCCTTAAATGGAGAACTGCTGATGGATGCACTCGGCGGTGAAACTTCTTTCGCCGATGTGCAAGGCGATTCTTTCGTGCCCGCGTTCACCCTTGGCGTTGGGCAAAAGGCAAGACTAACATTCGGCCAAGATGTAAACACCCTGAAATTTTTTACTACTTGTGGTTTGCAGGAGGGCTATGAACCGTTCTGTGTGTGAGTAACTTTGATTTTTCTATTAAAATGAAATATAGCAAGTGATAGAAAAAAATTAGTGTCGTTTATTAATTTTCTTAGGAACATGAATCGTCTAGTTACGTATTGGTACACGAAAGATCAGCCCATTTTTGAGAACACCGACGACATGGCCGATACGCGAATCGACGTGGCTAGGATACCAGCTGGTTCCGACACACCGCCGTGTCTGAAAATCTCTCACAACACGTTCGAAACCATGGAGAAGGCTAATTGGGAATTTTTACGATTATCATTGCCTGTGATTTGCCAATCTAATTTTATAACTGAGGGTGAGAAGTTGCGCAGGTGGCAGGAGATTAAAGCGCGACAGAACAGACTTTTAGCCGAGCAAATTGAGCAAGGGCAGCAGGCAGCACCGTCGGGTCATTTAGAACAGATTATGAAATCCGGCTTCAGTATGAGCGATATCAAAGGTAATTACGTAGAAACCATTAATTTCAAAATGTGATTTGTGATTTATATTCAAAATGAATATAACGTATAAAAAATGTTTAATTAAAATAAAAATAATTTGTGGCTTCATGAATAAATCAAATATAACTTTATATATCATATTTGACTTATATAATATTTGAGAAATCTTTTTAAATGTGTTCACCAGTTGTAATTTAAAAAAAAGTTTTAGATAAATTGATTAATGAAAAGACTGATTGATTTTTAGATAAAACTATTCAATCTAGTAATAATATCGCAATATCTGGTTATAATAATGATATACATATAACGATTATAATATTATGCAACAAATTTAATACAAATAATACTGAATAGGACTGCAAAGAAATTATTCGGAAGATGCGGCTGAGGCGGACGAGATGATGAAAGAATCGCCGCTTCCTATGCAAAGAGGTAAGCCTGCCAGACCGCCCAGGAAAGGTTCATTTTACGGATCACGTTTAGATAATGCGATCAGTGATGCTGAAATGAATGGATATGGCGAGATGAATGGTGACATAAAGGACGAGAAGAAGAAACGTGGCCGCTCACCTTTTCGGTAAGCATGAATTATATTAATAACTATATTATCTATAGTGAATGTTGTAAAACAAATTGACTTCGATACTTTGACTTTGTTAGCAAGCTTAGCAAAGAGATGGAGGATGCACCGTAAGTTTTTTTAAATATTTTTTTCCAACGCTATTATGAAAATAATATAGTCATTAATATTTTCAACTCAATGTTCGATATCTCAGTAATTAATTGGACAACTTTGATTTTATTTTATTTTGTTATTAAAATTTTATTTTTTTGTTTTTAATAAATTATTTAATTGATCTTTATCGTGTGCATAGGTTCTTCTCGCGTAAAACGAAATCACCGGAGACAAAGTCAAAAACGCCTGAGCCGCAAATACGTGCAGATATCTCAGATAAAAGTACGAAAATGCTCGGAAGCAAAAGTGCCAAAACTCCCCAAATTCGCGTCTCAACTGTGAGTGTATATATAAATAAAAGTATATTTTAATAAATAATATTTGAAGATATTTTCTATAATTTCACGAAAATCTGAAGAAATTTTTTTTATAAATTCCGCAGACTGTTTGCAACTTTTGAGAATATTAAAAATTTCGTAATATCTACAATTTCTCTTTATAGACGGACTTGAAAGTCGTCCCGCCACAAATCCCAGAACGTAACGTTCCCAAGGCGATGTCCGTTTTAACAGGAAGTGGCGTCGAAGCGATCGGCAATGAAATCTTCGACGCTGAGTGTATGAAGTTAATGAATGAGTATTTCTATGGCATTAGGATATTCCCCGGTCAAGATCCGACTCACGTTTACATTGGTTGGGTTACTTCACAATATCACCTGCACACGAAGGACTTTAATTTATCTCGCGTGAGGAAAGCTTCTGTTGCGATTATAGATGATTACGATCGTCTCGTAGAGCAGTACGTTTTAGTATACTTTTTATCGCAGAATTTTTGCTAGAACCATAATTATACCATAAAGATGCTCGTCTAAAAAAAACAATGTTACAACGTTGTAGAGTCGACAGACAAAGTTGCTATATGGTTCGAGCGGATGAACTGTATAACGAAGTCACTCAAGATGCATCGGGTAAGGGCGCATCTCAGGGTATGTTCGTTGGATGCTTTGTTGATACTGCCACAGGCTGGGTATCCTTCACTTGTGAAGGGAAAGAAACAAGTCACAAATTCAAGATGGAGCCAGACACGAAACTGTTCCCAGCGATCTTCGTTGAAGCCACCAGCAAAGAGATCCTACAGATCGAACTCGGCAGGACTTCGACAACGCTTCCACTATCGGCAGCTGTACTGCAGAATTCTGAACGACACGTTATACCGCAGTTTCCACCAAGATTAAAAGTACAATGTCTCAAACCGCACCAATGGGCCAGAGTGCCAAATCAGTCTCTTCAAGTACACGCCTTAAAGCTGTCTGACATCAGAGGCTGGTCGATGCTATGCGAGGACGCTATCTCAATGCTGGCTCTTCATATACCCGAGGAAGATAGATGTATCGATATTTTGGAGCTTATCGAGATGGATAAGTTGCTCAGGTAAGACAATGATAGAAATTTGCGACGAAAAATTAAAAAAATATTTTTCTCTTTACCTAAACTTTTCTCTCTTATATTAAAACAATGTATTTTTCTTGCACAGTTTCCATGCACACACATTGACACTGTATGCAGCTCTGTGCTATCAATCGAATTATCGTGCAGCGCACGCTCTGTGCCAACATGTTGATCAAAAACAATTGTTATACGCGATACGAGCCGAGTACATGTCCGGGCCCCTGCGACAAGGATTTTACGATTTACTTATCGCCCTACATCTCGAGTCACACGCGACGACGATGGAAGTGTGCAAAAACGAATACATAATACCGCTTGGTAAGAACTTGATTTTGAAATAGAAAATTACCCAGATAGCAATGTGTCTGTCTTGTTGCTGGCATGTTGCTTGCTAAGTATGTGTTGCTACCAGAATTACAGCAACTGAGTCCTCATTTGTTGGCAACTTGATGCCTTCAGGCTTTTACGATATGATTGAGTAGCAAGCACACATTGAGTAGCAAATTGCCAGTAATTTACGACAACTTTAAAATCATCAAAATTCGTACTATTGCCATCATGTTGCCATAATAATATGCAGCATCATATAATGCTGTCATATTGCCGACAACGCAAGATAACATTGATGTAGCTATCTTGCTGTTAAACTGCTGGCAACACATATACGCATTGTTGTCTGCGTGTTGCTACAATGTCGGTATATTCGAAATCATTGAAGACAAATCTACCGCAAGTTGCCAGCATCATAAGCAATCACAGATTTGTGCGATTTTGCTGAGACGCTTTGCTATCTGAGTACGTGCGTAAATCAAACATTAAAATTGAAAATTAAAATTTTTCAAAATATAGTTTTGAATATATATTCTTTGATTATATCTTGTATATTTAATTTCTATATTTTTAAGAATTTATTTTAGAAAATATAGAGAGAAATATAATTATAAATTAATATAAATATAAAAATATTCTTCTCAATCTGTCGCGTTAATTAAAAATTTAATAAAAAAACTTCTTATTTTGCCTATATTAAGATATTTTATGTAGTAATTATTTGTCTATTACGTAGGTCAAGAATTAAAGGATTTGTACGAAGACTACGAGATGAAACACAGTCTCAGGTATTTGGAGACCGAGTCTATTCGCCCACAAATGAAAATGACAGAGATCAGGTAAGTAAAACTTTTTCCCAAGTAGATGTGAGATCCTTTACTAATCAGTTGCCATCAAGGAATGTTCCTTCCAGTGACCAAGCGATTGAGAACATAAAGAACCTGTATAGCCCACATTTTCCACTCGACGTCGTGCGGGATTACGTGATGATGGCGCTCAACGAAGCCGTCGAAGTGAATCAGGTGCACAACCGAGATCCAATCGGAGGCAGCAACGAGAATCTCTTTCTGTATGTAAGATAATAAGTGCTGCTGCTGCTGCTGCTGCCGCTGCTCAACTAATTCTTCATCAATACTACCGGGGCAACGATAATCGTCGTATTCATTTTCGAATATTTAAGCGAAAAACAAAATATGCGAGCTTGTTTCTATTTCTTCTTTGAATAGGAATTTTCAATTTCTTGCTTCTCGCTTACAACATTTCATCACCTGATAGTCATATACGATATATGTTCTGATGCAATTTTGAAAATTACAGACCACTTTTGAAGCTGGTAGATAGATTGCTCTTAGTCGGCATGCTAAGAAACGAGGATATATTCAAGTTACTCATTATGATAAATCCCGAAACCTGGGACCCGTCTTTCGATAAAGGTAAGTTAATTGAAAGAAAAGTAGAATAAATAGAAAAGTTAATAAATAGAAAACAATTCAAAGAAAGAACTCAATACAAAGTTATCAAAACATCATAGAAGGAAAAGACGAGCACAAGAAAGGCTTACTGCATATGAAAATGGCTGAGGGAGCGAAATTACAAATGTGCTATCTACTTCATCATTTAAATGACATCCAATTGCGCCATCGCGTCGAGTCCATTATTGCTTTCGCTTACGATTTCGTCGGAGAATTGCAGGCCGATCAATTGCGACGTTATATCGAGATCAAACAATCAGATTTGCCATCGGCTGTCGCTGCCAAAAAGACCAGAGAATTCAGGTGTCCTCCTCGCGAACAAATGAATGCTATTCTAAGCTTCAAGAATTTAGATTTAGAAGAAGATCCAGACAGTTGTCCCTGTGGCGAGTGCAGCTAATGCCGCAAACGAACCAGCTGAAGAAATTCAGAAACCTGGAGCTATGAAACGCCTCTTTAATTTTATCAACGCTGTTAAAGAACTCGAGGAGGAATCTAAACCTGAAGTCGAGCCCGAGAAAAAGACTCCGGAAGGTAAGATAATAGAAATTTAGAAAATTTTTTATTTCGAGATAAAGAGCTGGTTCTTACTGGGTTTTTTGTTCAAAATTTCTAGTTTTTCGGTAATTTTTCTGCATGTAGTCATAATGAATATATTTTACGTAATATATTTATAAACAATAATATTTGTCTTACCTTTTTATAGAGGTATTTCGCAAGGTGCTAATATCAACTATCGTGAGTTGGGCTGAAGAATCGCAAATCGAGACACCGAAACTCGTACGAGAGATGTTCAGCTTATTAGTCAGGCAATACGATACCGTCGGTGAGTTGATCAGAGCTTTGGAGAAAACTTACATCGTTAACAACAAGACGAAGGATGATGTCGCATTAATGTGGGTCGGTTTGAGCCAAATTCGTGCCTTGCTACCAGTACAAATGTCTCAGGAGGAGGAAGCGCTAGTTCGAGAGCGACTGTGGAAGCTGGTGAACAATCACACATTTTTTCAACATCCCGATCTCATTAGAGTGCTGAGAATTCATGAAAACGTGATGGCCATTATGATGAATACCCTAGGAAGACGCGCTCAGGCGCAGTCTGACGCTCAAACTCAGGCTCAAGCAGCGGAAGGTGAACCAGCATCAAAGGAGAAGGACACCTCTCACGAGATGGTCGTGGCTTGCTGCAGATTCCTGTGCTATTTCTGTCGTACATCCAGACAGAATCAGAAAGCCATGTTCGACCACTTTGACTTCCTGCTGGAGAACAGCAATATTCTGTTGGCAAGACCGTCATTGCGAGGATCAACGCCATTAGACGTAGCATATTCGTCACTGATGGAAAACACAGAATTAGCTTTGGCTCTAAGAGAACATTATCTAGAGAAAATCGCTATCTATTTATCGCGATGTGGCCTGCAGTCCAATTCGGAATTAGTGGAGAAGGGCTACCCTGATTTAGGTTGGGATCCTGTTGAGGGTGAACGCTATCTCGATTTCTTGAGATTTTGCGTGTGGGTCAATGGTAAGTTTTACCGTATTTTTTAATTTAATTTATTCAACTTTCTACTGTAAAAGCGATTAATATTAAATACTGCGATCTTAATCACAGGTGAAAGCGTGGAGGAAAATGCAAACTTGGTAATCCGTTTGCTAATCAGAAGACCAGAATGCTTGGGTCCGGCTCTTCGAGGCGAAGGTGAAGGTTTATTGAGAGCCATTATAGAAGCTAACAAGATGTCTGAACGTATTGCTGATAGACGAAAAGTAAGCTATCTCACTATTTCATTTATAGTTAAAGCTAAAGACTATAAGCGAACTATTTTGTAAGTAAGAAACTATTTTTTCTTTTGATTGTTATTTTTAAAAAAGATCTATGTGTGTATTATCAATTCTGTGTGAATTAGCCCCTAAAAATACCAAACAAATATATCTATGTATTCTGTATATAGATATAATATTCCTTTAATTTCTTCATATTTCAATAATTTTTACTTAGCCCTTCTTTCTTTTTAATTCTTAGAATTCGTGTGATTTTATTTATATTTATTGTATTTTGATATGCTACCGAAATTTCCTTGGAATTAATATGAACTTAATTTCTCATAATCCACATGATTTTCTTTATTTCAAAAACAAATCATAAGTTCGCTAAATATAAGGCATAAAATATGACTGTGCGACAATATTAAAATGAATTCTCCGTAAGCATGTACCCGACCTTCCATTAATTTGGTGTCAACTTAGTACCTCGCACAGGTGCACGACGAGGCCGAGGGCACGGCTATGATGATGCAATTCGAACATCCACTACCGGAATCAGACGACGATGAAGACTACATTGACACTGGTGCGGCAATATTAAATTTCTATTGCACCCTCATCGATCTGTTAGGCCGCTGTGCTCCGGATTCTTCCGTGATAGAACAAGGTAAGAAAATGAATTAAGCCAAAGAGTTAACGTTCATCGTCTTTAATACAAAATTCACAAAAATAGTTACATTTTAAATTTATTTTTCGACTTTATGTATAATTTTTATGGCCGCTATTTAAAATAACTGCAATAACTCAATATAAAATGTGAAAAAGTATAAGCAATTAATACTAAATAATTTTTAATAATATATAATTTTTTTCAAACTTAATCATTTACAGAAATAATATGTCAAACAACCTTATAGGATTTTTTTATAGAAATCTATAAAAAAAATAAGATTATGATTTTAGAGAAATTATTAAGAAAATATTAAGAAATTATTAAATTCTCGAATCATTTTTTTTTTCAAACTTCATACCATCATTATTGCATTGTTCGCATATATTTCCCATATAAAATTGCTCGAAAACTTCACTACGATAAGCGAATGATAACGAATTATCTAATAAGAATCGTTTATTTCTTTCTTAATGACCAACAGAGGCCTTCATAAAATCCGTTGGTAATATACGAAACGAAATTTTGCTTTAATAAAACATTAGTATCACAAACAATGCCTGTTTGTTTAAAGTCCTGCAATTATTTCAGGGAAGAACGAATCTCTCCGAGCCCGGGCGATCTTAAGATCGTTAGTACCCTTGGACGATCTTCAGGGTGTGCTATCTTTGCGGTTCACATTGCTCAATCCCGCCGCCGGCGAGGAACGACCGAAAAGCGATACACCATCTGGTTTAATACCAGGGCACAAGCAAAGCATTGTGCTGTTTCTCGAACGTGTTTATGGTATCGAAACGCAAGAGTTATTCTACAAATTATTAGAGGAAGCTTTCTTGCCGGATCTTCGCGCCGCCACCATGCTCGACAGAGTACGAATCACACTGATGTCTATGTACCTCGTGTAAAATCATTTAAATTTTATTATCGCAAATTTATTTTTTTTTATTAATTTAACAAAGGTAATAATTTTTTAAAAATTGCAAATTAGAACATTTTTATATTATCTGATTTAATTTTTTTTTCGCAGAACGACGGCTACGAATCCGAAATGTCACTCGCTATGAATCGTTACATAGGAAACAGCATTTTGCCACTGTTAATTAAGCATTCCAAATTTTACAACGAGGCGGACAATTACGCGAGTTTACTCGACGCTACATTGCACACGGTGTACCGACTCAGTAAGAACCGGATGCTGACGAAGGGTCAACGCGAAGCTGTCTCGGACTTCCTTGTCGCGTTGACTAGGTAAGCGAAAAACTTTTCAAATTATCGAATTCTTTTGCTCTAAGAGAAAAAATGTTCATTTGTTTGGTAAATTTCAACGCTATTATTTAAAACAACTGAGATTAAAAATAATCGCTTTTTATCTTAGTTGATATAATCTTCACAAATTCGCGAATTACGTTCTAAGAATTAACTCGAATTTCTCTTTGCAGTCAAATGCAGCCGAGCATGTTGTTGAAGTTATTACGAAAGCTGACTGTCGATGTGTCTAAATTATCAGAGTATACTACAGTAGCTCTCAGAGTACGTCAATTGTTACTACTTCCACAATTAATTTTTTTTATTTAATATAGATAACTATTGAAAATTAACAGCCATAAAATTTTGTTAAACAAAACCTCTATTATCAACTTTATTATTGCATAATTTAATTTTTATGTTATTAGTTGTTAACGCTGCATTACGATCGTTGCGCGAAATATTACGGTTCCACCGGCTCCACCGGTCAAGGCGCTTACGGTGCGTCGAGCGATGAAGAGAAACGTCTCACGATGGTCCTCTTTAGCAATATATTCGATTCCCTGTCTAAAATGGATTACGATCCAGAATTATTCGGAAAAGCGCTGCCTTGCCTGACAGCCATCGGTTGTGCTCTGCCGCCAGATTATTCTTTATCGAAAAATTACGACGACGAATGGTACGGCAGCAAATCGGCCTCGACTCAATCACCCGACGGTCCTTACAATCCGCAGCCAATCAACACTTCCAGGTTAATTATTAACTCTTATTATTAAATTCTTATTATTAAAAAATTATTATAGCAATCAAACAAAATTTTAATAATTTGAAAATTTTTAATAGTTTGATAATTGTAAGATATGGAAGATCTGTGATTTTGAATATTTTGATGTTCCATTATCTTCTTTACAATCTTTTTTTAGCGTGGTGCTCAATAACGATCTTAATCAAATAGTGCAAAAATTCTCTGAGCATTATCACGATGCTTGGGCTAGTCGTAAGTTAGAGAACGGTTGGACTTACGGCGATCAATGGTCGGACATGAATAAAACTCATCCGAGATTGAAACCATATAATATGTTGAGTGATTACGAACGAGAGCGATACAAGGAACCCGTCAGAGAGAGCTTGAAAGCTCTCCTAGCAATTGGTTGGAGTGTGGAGCACGCGGAGGTCGATGTACCATCGACCAATCGCAGTTCGATGAGAAGATCTTCTAAGAGTCAAGTAAGAAATTATTCGCAAAAATTTATTATTATAGCTATAAAAGAAAGATATATACATATTTTCAAATATGTTAGGGGGACTCAGCTAATCCGTTTAACTACAATCCTCATCCGGTGGACATGACTAATCTGACGCTAAGCAGAGAAATGCAGAACATGGCTGAACGTTTGGCAGATAACGCTCATGATATTTGGGCAAAGAAGAAGAAGGAAGAACTTACTACCTGCGGTTAGCATAAATTGTGATCTAATAATCTCAATTTTTTATCTCTTGTCTTTCTCTGTCTCCGTATTTCCAGCAAACACCAACTATTGACATAACTATTAATTAAAATTTTCCATTCAGTAATACCCAGTGAGAAATGATCATGGAATCAATGTCGAATCGACGTCGATTTGATGTCGATTCCATTATCATTTTTCACTGGGTATAACTGTGATACAATACATCTATTAAATTACCTATATTGTTGAGTGGGAAATTATAATTCACGTTAATGTTAATTAATGTTTGCTGAATTAAAATTTAATTTATATGTTAAATAATTTTTTCGTAATATCTTATGACTACAGGAGGTGGTATTCATCCTCAGTTGGTACCTTACGATCTATTAACTGATAAGGAGAAACGAAAAGATCGTGAGCGATCGCAAGAGTTTCTCAAATATTTACAGTATCAAGGGTACAAGCTTCACAAACCTAATCGCGGCGGCACGGAGACCGAAGTGGCTGGCGCAGTTGCTGCGGTAGAATTAAGATTCGCTTATTCATTATTAGAGAAGTTAATAGCTTATTTGGACAAGGCGACAATCAATATGAAGCTCTTGAAACCCTCTGACACATTCAGTCGAAGAAACAGTTTTAAGACCTCGACAAGAGACATCAAGTTCTTCAGTAAAGTGGTCCTTCCACTAATGGAAAAGTACTTTAGCACGCATAGAAACTACTTTATCGCTGTGGCTACCGCCACGAACAATGTCGGTGCAGCGTCGTTGAAAGAGAAGGAGATGGTAGCTGCTCTTTTTTGCAAGTTAGCAAGTTTGCTGAGATCGAGACTCGCCGCTTTTGGCGCGGATGTAAGAATAACGGTTCGATGCCTGCAAGTGCTAGTAAAAGGTATAGACGCTAAGAGTCTCGTAAAGAACTGTCCTGAGTTTATCCGAACGTCCATGTTGACTTTCTTCAACAATACCGCCGATGATCTGGGTCACACGATCATGAACCTCCAAGAAGGGAAATATAGTCATCTCAGAGGCACCCATTTGAAAACCTCCACGTCATTATCGTACATCAATAGTGTAGTTCTGCCGGTGCTCACAGCGATGTTTGACCATCTTGCCGCGTGCGAGTACGGCAGTGACTTGTTACGTAAGTATTTACAAAATTAATGAAATTAATGTTGAAATAAGTCCAGGGTTGAGATAAAGTATTATTTTATAAAAATAATATTTTATCATATATATTATTTTTTTGTAGAAATTTGTTATTGTTACTCGTTACTAATTTTCAAAAGTAACACGTTACCGTTATTTAAAAAATAACACTTCATTACTTTTTCTAACTCTAAAAAACAATTAATTAATTATTTAAATTTAATTACTATTACTATTATTAATTTAATTAATTAAATCGATATAATTTGTGCGTTAATTTACACATTTTCTTCATTTTACGTAGTTGACGAAATTCAAGTAGCATCGTACAAAATGTTGGCGTCTCTGTACACTCTCGGAATAGACGCTAGTTTAACGCACGACAGAAAGTACCTGAAGACTGAGATCGAGCGACATAAACCTAATCTAGGCTCCTGCTTGGGTGCCTTTTCAAGTTGCTTCCCAGTGGCCTTTTTAGAACCTCATTTAAACAAGCACAATCAGTATTCCCTTCTAAATCGAATCGCGGATCATTCTCTGGAAGCTCAAGATATCATGACGAAGATGGAATCTAGTATGCCAACCTTGGAGACCATCCTTAGTGAAATCGATCAGTTCGTCGAATCCGAGAAGACCTACAACGATGCTCCTCACGTCGTCGACGTAATTCTACCTTTGCTCTGCTCTTATTTGCCATTCTGGTGGGCGCAAGGGCCTGACAATGTGAATCCGACTGAGAGTACCTACGTTAGCATGGTAACGAGCGATCACATGAATCAGTTGCTGAAAAATGTGTTGAAGTTGATTAAGAAGAACATCGGTAATGAGAACGCACCGTGGATGACGCGCATTGCGGCCTATACGCAGCAAATCATTATCAATTCATCCGAGGAGTTATTAAAGGATCCGTTTTTACCTCTCGCCGAACGCGTCAGAAAACGAACGGACACTATGTTCCACAAAGAGGAATCTCTTCGGGGCTTTATTAAATCTTCGACTGACGATACCTCGCAAGTTGAGGCGCAGATTCAAGAAGATTGGCAATTACTCGTGCGCGATATCTACTCATTCTATCCCTTATTGATAAAGTACGTCGATCTTCAAAGGAATCATTGGCTGAGGAACAATATTTCCGATGCCGAAGATCTATACAATCACGTGGCGGCTATATTTAATATCTGGTCCAAGTCACAGTACTTCTTGCGCGAAGAGCAGAATTTTATATCCGCGAATGAAATTGATAACATGGTACTCATCATGCCCACTGCAACAAGAAGACCTGCTACAGTGTCTGATGGCACCGCACCTTCCGGAGGAGGCAAAGTTTGTACAAGCTATTTATTTCCCAGCAAAAACAAGCTAACATTATTTATAACTTGTTTCCTGGGCTATTTGATTTTGCTAATCTACATTTAATTCTCAAGAATCAAAAGATCAAATGATTAAGTATCTCTTTCGTATTTAGAAAAAGAAGAAACATCGCGACAAGAAGAGAGACAAGGACAAGGAAGTACAAGCATCCTTGATGGTCGCTTGCCTGAAGAGATTGCTACCCGTCGGCTTAAATCTCTTCGCTGGTCGCGAACAAGAATTAGTGCAGCATTGCAAAGACAGATTCCTGAAAAAGATGCCGGAATCTGATATTTCGGAATTTGCCAAGACTCAACTGACACTGCCGGATAAGATCGATCCTGCCGACGAAATGTCTTGGCAACATTATCTATACTCACAATTAGGTCAGAAGAAGGACGCAATGGAGCCTGTAAAGGCTCAACAGCTGGAAGATGTCGTTGCTAGAATCACCGACATGGCCAAAGTCTTATATGGTTTACATATGGTTAGTTATGAAACTATTTAACGTTACTGTATAGTTGTAATTTTCAAAATTTTGTTGAATATTCACAGTACTTAAGAAAAAATCTTCGAAGCTTTGTAACTTTTTTAATTTGCTATTGATATCAATGTTTTCGTGATCACTGGAAATGCAAACGCTACTTTTGAAAATCAGTTCATCATATCATCATTTTTCTGTTTCTTTAAGTCGCGCCGAAGTGTTCATCATATTCATTCCGTACTTTTGTTCTCGAGTAGATAGATCATCCACAACAGCAGAGCAAGAGTCAATATCGTTCAGTGGTGTCGATCCAGCGTAAACGAGCGGTAATCGCTTGCTTTCGCCAAACTTCCTTACATTCCTTGCCAAGGTATCCTTCTTGTTATTTAGTTACGTTTTCTCTTCATTTGTGATTTCACAACATTATTAATTTTGTTAGTATCACCACATTTTTATTTTAAGTTAAATTGAATGTCGCCGGTGTGTTTTGTGTTATTGATTTATTAGCTATTTTGCTGTTTATTAATCAGAGAGAGAAATAATTAGGCAATAAGAATCGATCAGTTTTGAGTATTATATATTATGTAACATTAACTGCAATAATTAATGAAAGTGATTGTTAATGATTTAATGAGTGCGCTTGCTGTTTACCTGCACGCTAACAGGCGACAAAGCCACCGCCATCGCGAGATGGATGGAAACGGGTGTTGTGCGCTGCTAGAAAAAGAGCGGCGATTGCATGTTTACGTAGTGAACCTCTGTATAAATTGAGAAGGTATGATTAACACAAATTAATCTCTACTATATGTTTCTTCGAATAATATTTTAACTATATAAATTTATTCGTTTAGGCATCGAGCGATAAACATTTTTGCGCGAACATATTACGAGCTGTGGTTACAAGATGAAAATGTGGGCCAAGAAGTTATGATCGAGGATCTTACGGTAATTGCGACCTACATTATTGAACCCTCAGTACACATGATTCAGTCATTCGTATCTTGCGCATTTCTTTTTTTTGAAATACTAGGAGCACTTTAAATAAAGGTATCCTTTCCTGTTTTTTAAATACAAATTTTACAAATATTTACTAAAGATGTTAAAGTATATGTGAAATCACTTAATATTTTTTATACACTTTTAAACATGACAGAAATTAACCCGGAATACGAAGGACCCAGAAAATTATTGTGTGTATTAAGAGTTAAATTGAATGAAATGTAATTTAACATAAAATTATAAATAATATTAATATTATATTTTTTCTTTCAGCAATCGTTCGAAGATGCAGAATTGAAGAAAATGGATAAAGCTGAGGATGAAAGCAAACCCGATCCGTTGACACAATTGGTGACAACATTCTGTCGCGGCGCTATGACTGAACGATCAGGCGCTCTTCAAGAAGATCCGCTTTACATGAGTTATGCTCAAATTATCTCAAAATCATGCGGAGAAGAAGAGGAAGAGGGTGAAGAAGAAGGTGGAGGTGAAGAAGAAGGAGGAGCTTCGATCCATGTAAGCATTTTTGATTGATAAGTTCTCGTCTGATATAATAGATATAATTCTCTCTCAAGTAAAAAAATAGAATTCTTTAAATTCCCACTAAATCAGTCTACCGCATTAATAAATTCCCTATTTTTTTTCTAATTTACTAAAAGCGGAGACATAAGCTATTTACGGTAAGAATAAGTAGTTAGTGCGAGAAATCATCCGCTTAATATATGCTCGCAGTCCAAAATATTAATCATACGAGTTTTCCATATGTAACACCCGAATTTGTTGAATTATACATTATTTTATTCATTGAAATCAAAGCGATATGTATAATATCATTCATGAGCAAGCAAAACATCGTAGGCTATCAAGATTGTCTTCCTCTCATCAATTTATTACTAACAATATAATTAAATTGTGCATTTTTTCTTTTAACGTAATTCTGAAGAGGCCAATGCATAAATTAATGGTAAGATATTCCATTATATTTAATGAACATTTTTTATCAGAAAATAATATTAAATCTCACCAACAAATGTAAAATAAATATGATTATATAACATTTTTAATTAAAGAAGTTTAATATTAATTATATTTATTATAAATTACTATATACGCTTGGTTAAAAGTAATGTATAATATGTATGTAGATTTATCAAATTTATGTACGTGTAAGTGATTTTATTTTTATACAACATTTTTATCATATTCTGTAATTATAGGAGCAAGAAATGGAGAAGCAAAAACTCTTGTTCCATCAAGCTCGTCTAGCAAATCGCGGCGTCGCCGAAATGGTCCTTCTGCACATATCGGCGTGTAAGGGCATTCCCAGCGAGATGGTGATGAAGACTTTAGAACTTGGAATTTCGATCCTGCGTGGCGGTAATATCGAAATTCAGCGAGGGATGCTGAATCATCTAAAGGAAAAAAAGGATGTCGGTTTCTTCACGTCCATCGCAGGTCTAATGAACTCTTGCAGCGTGTTGGATCTAGATGCTTTCGAGAGGAATACGAAAGCTGAGGGTCTCGGCGTTGGTTCCGAGGGTGCAGCTGGTGAGAAGAATATGCACGACGCCGAATTCACTTGCGCCTTATTTCGCTTTATCCAACTTACCTGCGAGGGTCACAATCTCGGCAAGTATTACTCCGCTGAACACAAATTAACAGTAACATTACATCAATAATATAATTTCTCATTCAACAACATAAGTGTAATTATAATACATATTGTATGTATATAACAATTACATTGTTGAGTAGGAAATTATAATATGATTGATGTAATGTTACTATTTGTGTTCAACGGAACATTATCACTATTGAAAGTAATTCGATCAAGTGACATTTATTCTGTGTTCAATAGATTGGCAGAACTACCTCAGGACACAGGCTGGTAATACGACGACGGTGAACGTGGTCATTTGCACTGTCGATTACCTCCTGCGATTGCAGGAGTCGATCATGGACTTTTACTGGCATTACTCGAGCAAGGAACTCATCGATCCTGCCGGCAAAGCAAACTTTTTCAAAGCTATTGGCGTTGCTAGTCAAGTTTTTAACACCCTTACTGAGGTTATTCAAGGCCCGTGCGCACAGAATCAACAAGCTTTAGCGCATTCAAGATTGTGGGACGCAGTCGGAGGTTTTTTTTTCTTATTCTCGCATATGCAAGACAAACTATCGAAGCACTCCAGTCAGGTGGATCTTCTGAAAGAATTGCTTAACTTGCAGAAAGACATGATTACCATGATGCTTTCCATGCTTGAAGGTATATATTTTTTTTCAATTTTATTAAGAAAATGAATAAAGTAATCAATATTCATGTGATTTAAAGGTAATGTCGTGAACGGGACGATTGGAAAACAGATGGTAGACACTTTGGTCGAATCGGCTAGTAACGTAGAACTGATTTTGAAGTACTTCGACATGTTCTTGAAACTAAAGGATCTTGTATCATCGCCGAGTTTCCTGGAAGTCGATCTTAACAATGATGGTTGGGTGTATCCTAAGGATTTCAAGGAGAAGATGGAGCAGCAGAAGAGTTACACCAAGTATTACGCTTGCAAAATTACCCATCGTCTAATATTCTTCGAATTGAATTATTCTATATCTAAAATTTAAGATTTAAAAAATCTAAAATTCTTTAAATGTTTTCAGCGAGGAAATTGAATTTCTCCTGGCTTGTTGCGAGACGAATCACGACGGCAAGATCGATTATGTTGCTTTCATGGATCGTTTCCACGAGCCGTCGAAGGAAATAGGTTTCAATCTGGCTGTATTGCTCACCAATCTGTCCGAACACATGCCTAACGAACCGAGACTAGCCAGGTTCCTTGAGACAGCCGGGTCTGTTCTAAATTACTTCGAGCCGTTCTTAGGCAGAATCGAAATCCTCGGTGGCAACAAGAAAATTGAGCGCGTGTATTTCGAGATTAAAGAGTCAAACATCGAACAGTGGGAAAAGCCGCAAATTAAGGAATCGAAGAAGACCTACTTCTATAACACGGTAGTCGAGGCTGGTGAGAAAGAAAAACTCGAAACCTTTATCAACTTTTGCGAAGATGCTATTTTTGAAATGCAACACGCAAGTGCGTTGATGACCGTAGAGGAAAGTGGCGGAATCGGCAAAGCGAGGGAATCATCGTACACATATATGACCGAGGATGATGAAGAAAGAAATAAAGATCCAATTAGGCGGGGTATACAAGCCATCAAAGATGGCGTTTACTTCTTCTTTTACATGTTCTCACCTACCAATATTAAGAACAAGATCGCCGAAATGCAACAGATGACGATACCCGAACTCTTCATTGGTTTCTTCAAGATGATTTTCTACGCCTTCTATTATTCTGGCTTTGGTGTTGGCTGCGTGATCAAGTATTTCATGAGACTTCTATTGACATTAATGAGAGGACCGCATGTGGAGGAGCCTGTTGTAGTCAAGGAGGAGGAAGAGAAACCGTCGAGACATTTACCCGCTTTGCCACCGACGCCGGATGAATCGAATTTACAAGTAAAACTTCATCAATAAATTATGTTAATACAACACTAAGAAATATTATTTAACAAATTCGCATATGTAGGTGCAAGCCTTCGGAATGGATATAACGAAAGAAGAAGGAGGACAGATAAAACTAGCGCCGCACGAATCGACTACTTCTACGCCGCAATCCAGTATCGAAGAGACGGGTGAGAGTACACCCGAAGAGGGTACTGGCGAGGATGGAGCGAGAGCTGAAGGAGGAGAAAGCGAGCCGCCTGTTACTTTAGCTGATCTACTGGGGTTAGTAGAGTATAATAAACATTATATAAATATATTAGAGTCCCTGAATGAAAGATAATTGAATAATCCATGAAATTAATCTATAATAATGTTTAATGTTTCTAATACTATTAACAGGTCTTATTTTATAATTTTAGTTTTATTTTTTTAACGTTACTATATTTAAGTTTATATATCATGATACAAAATGTGCTGCAAAATGGATAACTTTAACACAAATAAAAAAAATGCCTAGATAATACGCACGTCCAAAATCAGAACATAAAGATATCTCAAAATATTTTTAAGACGTTTTTAAAACGCCTTAAAATCTATCCAGATTTTGACATTCGTAATGTTTCGACATTGTCAAAATTGGACTAAAGTTTTACGATATGTATTTCGCATAGGCATAGATCTGCAGAGCGCGGAACGAAGAAAATCCATGTTTGCCGCATGTCACTACAACAATTTTCTACTGAGTTATAGTGCTCCGAAAATCCGGCGAGCGCGCACGAATTATGAATAAATGCGGAGCGTGCGTGTTATGTGAATGTGACGCTTATGCTATTACGCTATTATTCTACTATGGTCAGCTGATCAGCTGACTAATAGTAATCGCTCGACACGTGCTTCGCAACGTGCGAACAGATGAGTGAGGCCAGTTAGCGGCTCCGCTTATGGATTAAACTGATTAAAGTGCTGGGATTTAGTTGCACATTTCGACCGATTGGCATTTAGGCTGCGCGCGGATTGGTGAAATAACGGGCAGGAACAAAGCTGAAAATCGGCCGAAATGTGCAACTAAATCCCAACACTAATTTAAGATCACAGATCGATATAATCGTACCTTCGCACAGAAAAATCGCAGCGAGATGATCTTGGTCGCGTTGGAAAGCTGAAACTTTAACGCTTCTAATGAGTGCAGAATCATGAGAAAAAAAACAATATACATGTGATATATACGCGATTTCAATGTACCTAAGATAATCAGTGAGATATCATTAGTTGATTACAAAAATAAAATTAATTTCGCTCCGAAACAATTACTATCCTTGCATCAAATATCAATATATCTTTAAATTACGATCATAGCATCTCAGCTTGAAAAAATCATAACACTGCTTAAAACAAATTGCATTGAAAAATGCACACACTTTCCTGTTTATATAACAATATCGATTATATTAGTATTATTATTATATATGTATAATAGTTCTATTTTAGTATAAATTATATATTAATATTACTTTACCTTCTTTTTTAAAAAATAGAATATTTTCATTTTACTGCATGTTGATTAATTGAATTTAAATGAATTAACAAATTGTTTGTAAAAATTTTTTTTCGTTAATTAAATGCTTTCTTACAATATTTGTTTAGCGGAGAACAAGCCAGAGCGCAAGCTGCCGCAGCGGTCAGCCATGGCAGCAGTTGAAGCCGAAGCAAAGCAAGAAATTTCAGTTGAACCTTCTACAGGATCGAGCATCGATCTGTCCGAATACAGTCATCGTATAGTATCCTTCTTGGCCAGGAATTTCTACAATCTGAAATACGTCGCGCTAGTTCTCGCCTTTTGTATCAACTTTATGCTGCTATTTTATAAGGTTTATCTAAAGTTTCTATTACGATTTTTTTCTGTACAAATACAATAAATGAAGTATAAAAATCTAAGATTCTATAAATTCAAGTTTCGCATGTATATCGTTTTTCTTATATATGTTGATTTTAAATCTAGGTTACGTCTTTGGCTGATGACTCGGATGAAGAAGGTAGTGGACAAATAGCGGATTTGTTAACGGAAATATCAGGCGAGGGGACATCGGGTTTGGCAGGTAGTGGCATGGAAATAGGCAGCGGTAGTGGTGAAAACGGTTCAGAAGAGGAAGACGAAGAGGTTCAGGAATTTGTGGAAGTGTCTGAGGATTATTATTATATGGCTCACGTTATGAGGTTACTGGCTGCTCTTCATTCAATCGTTTCACTTGCTATGCTTGTCGCATATTATCATCTAAAGGTACTTAAAACGCGAATAATAACAACAGATACACAATAAATCTTGAATATTTTTTTTATAATGTTTTCTATTGACAAAATATTTTAATAAATTCAATGATAGATATATGTACTTATATAATTATCGTAATTTAAAAAGTATTGTAAAATTACAAAATATTTATATTTATTCAGGTACCATTGGCCATATTCAAACGAGAGAAGGAAATTGCACGACGAGTAGAATTCGATGGATTATATATAGCCGAAACGCCGGAAGAAGATGACATTAAAGCGCACTGGGATAAAATGGTAATATCCGCGAAGACTTTCCCTGTTAATTATTGGGACAAGTTCGTAAAGAAGAAAGTCCGACAAAAATACAGCGAGACGTACGATTTCGATTATATCAGTAATTTGCTCGGAATGGAAAAGACTTCTTTCAGCCAACAGGAAGAAGAAGGATCTGGTTTAATACATTTGTAAGTAGATATTGTGATAGTATCTCTTTCCGTGAGATTCTTTAATGTAAAAAATAATTTTTTATAGCATTGTAAATATCGATTGGAGATATCAAATATGGAAGGCCGGAGTCACGATTACCGATAACGTAAGTTCTTTCAAGTAAATTTTCGGCGAGACTAATTCATATATCTATTTTATCTGTAATTTGATATGTAAATTATTTAAATTAAGTATCTATATGTGTATATTTAATTTCTAGGCATTTTTATACAGTTTGTGGTACTTTACATTTTCAATCCTCGGCAACTACAACAATTTCTTCTTCGCCGCTCACTTGTTAGACGTCGCAGTCGGTTTCAAAACTTTACGAACAATCTTACAATCGGTAACACATAACGGCAAGCAGTTGGTCTTAACAGTGATGCTACTGACAATCGTAGTATACATCTACACTGTGATAGCCTTCAATTTCTTCAGAAAGTTCTATATACAGGAAGAAGACGAAACAGACAAGAAATGTCATCATATGCTAACAGTATGTTATTCAGAAATACGTAAAAAATCTTTGTTTAATTATAATATATTTCATCTATAAACTTCACGTTATTTTAATTTGAAACTGTTGATGCATTTCTTTATTTCCTTTCAGTGTTTCGTTTTTCATTTGTACAAAGGCGTAAGAGCCGGCGGTGGTATAGGCGATGAAATCGGTGAACCTGATGGCGACGATTACGAGGTTTATCGTATAATGTTTGACATCACGTTCTTTTTCTTCGTGATCGTCATTCTGTTAGCTATCATTCAGGGTGAGTACAGTCGATTGATCTCCGATTTGCAGCAGAAAAAAAAAATCGATATTATATTACGATTGATGAACCTTAGGTTTAATCATCGATGCGTTCGGCGAACTTCGAGATCAACTCGACAATGTAAAGACAAATATGGAGAGTAACTGCTTCATTTGCGGTTTAGGAAAGGAATATTTTGACGCGGTACCGCATGGGTTCGATACTCATGTGCAACAAGAGCACAATTTAGCAAATTACATGTAAATTTTTATAAATATTTTATGCTTTTAATTTTACAATGAGATATTAGAAAGAACTTTATATTATCAATTTCTATATGATTTTAAATCACAACAGGTTCTTCCTTATGCACTTGATTAATAAACCCGACACCGAATACACTGGTCAGGAGACTTACGTGTGGAATATGTATCAACAAAGGTGTTGGGACTTCTTCCCGGTGGGCGACTGCTTCCGCAAGCAGAACGAGACGGTAGAAGAAGAGGCCAAGAAAAAATAAAATTAATCCTGACTCTAATTAAGGTGATCAATAAAAACGATCGATCTTACTTGACGAAGAGGACTCACCTCATCGAACAGTGTCTTCGATAATTTAGCATAAATTTTTACTCATCGAGAGTGCGTGGTTAGTACTCATTTAAAATCAAATTTCGAAAGTTCTACATCTTACCTCATAATGACAAAGAAAGGATTTTTATCTTGTAAACTTATGCTCCGTTTTCCACTTGGTAATTTATTCCGGCTAACTAATAGACTTTCTGACGTGTGAATGTAATGCATTAATTGCGTACTGCGTGTAATGAGGATTATAGAGCAATTCGTGTCTGATACCGCATCGGGGGAATAAAATTGAACATATTTTTCCAACTTTGTAAAAAATGGCATAAACTGTATCATCAAAACCAGTAATTTTCTCTTTTAGATTATATTTCTAATATTAGATAGCAATCATTGACAAAAGCTCGATTTCCTTCGATCGGCAGTACGTTATTGTTAAATCGATGGAAACGGCGGAACCGACTGCACAAATTTACATATTCATAGCGTTACAATATTGCCTTCTTTTCATACGTCGGATAATCTATACTGTATAATTTTATGCTGTATCGCAGCGATAACAAGTTTGAGATATATGATGATAGAATAAGTAAAATTAAAGATGTTTAAAGTTTATGTAATGTGCAAATCTTTTTCTGACTGATATGAAAGCGGGAACTTTTTGGACATTATATATGACTGAGCTCACAGTATATCTGAGAATGTCAATATATTGTAAATAAAATTCTACAGCAGGACTATCTGGTAATAAATAAAGACATACTTCTTTACTTCATTATACCAGGATCTCTTCTCAACCTTACGCGCATCAGTTATATATTTTTTTCAAATTTAATTTAGAACTTAAGTATTTGTTTTATTTTCACAGAAAGACTTCAAAATTATATTAAAATTTACAAGTATATAAAAAAATGTGTTAAAATCTACACAAATTATTAATATCATTATGTTCTTATTTAATTTACTTAGAATGAATTATGCAAGGAAAAAATTTAAAAAATATAACTATTTCAAATTTCAAAAATTACTTAAAAATTCTTTTTTATTTTCATCGAAATAATATCGGAAAGAGAATTTTATCAAAATATACTTCGTTCCTCTTAATCGATTTTGAGATCGATGAAGCGCTGGCGGAATTCCGCATGACGTTATGACGTCGCGTCGTATCGATGTCTATCGCGGCATAGTAAAGTCTCGCATTTCCCATCGCGACACGCACTCCCGGGGAAATAAGAGAGGAGCAACAAGAGTAACGGCGTGTCCCTCCGCACTGACGGCGGAAGGAGGTCGCGCAAGCGCGCATCGGATCAGTACTCGCTCGCCGGCGAGGAGTCTTCAGGGTGAAAATGCACCATGGCATGGGAGGATCGGCGGGCGATCGTCACGGCGCTCAAAATTCGGCGATGCAGGCCAGGAATGGGGTCTGCGACAAAATCGAAAATTACATATCCGAGTTAGGCCGATGGTACGTGAGTAAACGTGGAGGTAGTCTCCTTTGACGCTCGCAGGAGCCTTTGAGTGTATTTTCCGCCCTGCAGCAAAGTCGGTGGGGACGGGCGTAAGGGGGCGAATGACCCAGGGATAAAAGTGGCGGGTGTTTAGCTACGTTTCGTCGTAGTTTTTCGCAATTGGCATAACAATATGTAATCGTGGTGTAATCACGATGATTTAATATATTTCAATTGGAGTTACAAAAATTAAAGTAAGAAAAATAGAACAAATCAATATACGTGGTAATACAACTTCCAAAATTCGGAATGCGCTGGTGTTAGTGTATCTTTTGCATGGTTTCTGGGTGTGTGAAATTCGTGGGTCTCTGTGTTGAAATATGTGCATTTTAGTAATCTTATATATTTTTAATAATCTCAATCATTTTTGTATGATTGATATAAAAATTTGCCACTATAAAGTATTATCTGTCATCTAAATTAAGCGTTTATTTTTACGCGGTTTTTTCTTATGCCTTCGCCTGTATTGTATAGTCGGCTCGAAAGTACGATATAGGCAATCTTGGTCTGACCAGCGCCAAGCATTACTACTTAAACACCATCAATATAAAATATTTAATATAATATATTTAAATTTAAGCTCAATATTTAAATTGCTATTTAGAGAAAATCTTTTTTTCGTTTTTTATAATAAGGTCAACCGGAATAATTGTGAAAATGTCTAATTTTTTGTATTAAAATTCAAAGATTTTATATTTCATATTGTTTCATGTTTAAATATAATTTGACTTTAAATTGATACAAATCTTAAGTACAAAAATTTTATGTCATAATAATTATTAAATGTGTAAAGCATTGTAAAAAGGTTAGGTTACTACGTTTGCAACTATCAATTCAAAGTTAATTTTTTTCCAGGTTACGTCGTTTTAAATATTCATTGTTTTAAGATTACGATATTCGTTGTTTTAAGATTACTAATTACTATGAATCTAAATTAACGTTTTGTCAAGGATATAGCATAATTAATAGTGTATAACACTTTTTAATTAAACATTACAATTATCCTACTGTCAATTCAATGTACGGGGTAATTGTGATGTTTCGTGCGCGATTGCGCTAATGGCTTGCACAATTTTTAACAGCTGCAAAAGATACCGTTACAAAAATCATCTGAATGAAATCCACAGCATGTATATATTGATTTGAATAGAATCAAACCAGCAGAAGAAACGAAAACGTATTAGGATGAAATCAGAATTAGTGCAACACGTTTACACATAAAGAACACTAAATCCTCCGTACATTGAGACTCGATTAATTGTGCTCATGTTGGAATACATTTCTATTAAGCTAGCATGCCAACACGAGCACATAGGTGAGATGTATCAGGTGAGATGTATGTACGATTTAGTGCTCTTTATGTACTAATTTATTGCTCTAATTTTGATTTTATTATTCCAACCGCTTAACAACATAAATCGGTTTTATGCTAACTTTTAAAAAGTTAGAATGCTCATTAAAAATAATAATAATAACGATAACGTTTATATCATAATTTAACGCTAATTATGTGCTTTTAATATATCCTATTAGGATATATTTAAAAAATTAAATTTCAACTAGGGTTAAATTAAAAGGGTTAAATTTCAACTAGGATTTAAACCCTAGTTTAAATTTCGGTGCGCTACACTTCACGTCTGAAATAACACTATAAAACTATCAAATTAATACATGATTAGTTGTAAATTACAATATAAATGTTTTCCTTATATATTTATTATATTTTTGGTACTTTTTTCTTGTACGATATACGTTTCGGAATTGTTTGAAGCGTGAAGAGTAGAGCACTGAAATTTAAACTAAGATATATTAAAATACACATAGTTAACACTAAATTATAGTGTAAGCATTTTCATTATTACTGTTAACATTTTTAATGAGCATTCTAATTTTTTTTTTAATTTAAAAATTAGCATAAAACCAATTTCTTACTAAACGGTTAAAAGTAATAAAATCAAAATTAGAGCAATAAGTTAGCAAGTAAAGAGCACTAAATTCTCCATACATTGACCTGATACAGGGACCTGATTCTGTTCAAATTGGCGTGCTATCTTAATGGACGTCTATGTCTATTAAGATACCATGCCAATATGAGCACAATCAAATCTCGATGTATGAAGGATTTAATGCTCTTTATGTGCTAATTTGTTGCTCTAATCCTGATTTGATTGCTTTTAACCGTTTATCAAAAAAACGTTTAATCTATAGTTAGAAAAATCAGTTACATAAATCTTTCAATAGAATATATAAATTTTAAATACTAATTTTTATGGCATTAAAAATTGACACTAATTGACATTAATTAATATAATACAAAATTATTAATACCTTTAAGACATTAGAATCTGTTTACAAATGCAATATCATATAGTATTACGTTTAGATATATTTTAAGGTACACATTTGTATATTCTTGAAATACGTATCAATGCTTATTAATGAATTATCAAATAGGGCGGTATGGAGGGCGATAATAATGGGCCAGTTCCTCTCGTTGGTGCTGTGCTTCATGACATTCATAAATCATTACATAAACACCGGTTCCTACAAGCTCTCGCTTCCAACAGGTAATTTATTCATTCGGAAAAAACTATTTTCTGTCTTTAGCGTTGGAAGTTAAAGTGATTAAATTACAGTAATTTCAAGTTTATGAAACTTTGCGCGGCTAATTAATTATTATCGTTTTTGCGAAACAGGGCAGAATGTTCCGCACTATGTGATGATGTGTTTAGTCTACACAACGTGGATGTCCTGTAGGGGTGTAGGGAATGGCCTAATTTCCGTCATACGAGCTCGTGGCTGGAGATATTTGTTGTTAGCACTGATCGACGTTGAGGCGTGCACTCTTATTACATCGTCGCATCAATATACCAGCCTCGCTAGTATACAGGTATGTACATACATAAAGAACTTTTCAAGTTTACTGTTTACTGCAAGAGCAGTACAACAATATAGGTAACGATTAAAATAAATCTTGTTTTTAGAAAACCTATAATATATTATTGACATGAGTAATTCTTACTCTCTAAAACTTTTAGAGCGAATCTTATTTCGAAGAGTAAAATCTCACTCTTAAAGATTATAAATTGAGTCATTCTTTTTTAAGATTGGCTCAATTTTCACTCAGATTCCACTTCAAAAAGTTTAAAGAGTGTCATACATGTGACAATCTTGCGTTTCGCGGGTTTTCTCCGTGTTCAGATCCATTCTTGGAATGCCAACGTTTCGTGAACCTTGCAGTTCACTTCATCAGGGCGAGGAGCAGCCTGATACTAAGCTGTTCCCCCGGGTCGTTCCTTTTATATTACGCTGCTTGTGTGGGGGGAGGGGGGGGGAACAGCTTAGTATCAGGCTGCTTCTCGCCCTGATGAAGTGAACTGCAAGGTTCACGAAACGTTGGCATTCCAAGAATGGATCTGAACACGGAGAAAACCCGCGAAACGCAAGATTGTCACAT